ATGTGGCCCAGCGAACGCGGTTGACACCGGGTCTGCTGATGATCAACGTGCTCCTTTGGGAGTTTCTCAAACTGTGGTTTTGGGGCACACTTTGAGAATACACCCTGGACGCGATGGCACTCCATCACAGGGCAGACATACACACATTTGCAACAAAGCTGATTTTCCACAAACACAGGGCGAGCTATAAACCCCACGCAGACAGCGGCTTGGGAATTGAACCCGGGGCCCCAGCACTGCTCAAACATGCCACCCGCAAGCTATCACGAATACAGACAATGGCAACAGTTCAAACAGTCACATCTTGGCTGGCTGCTGTGTTCAAAGAAATGTGCCACAGTACCAAATATCAAGAGGAAATAATAATGTAGAGTGGAGGCTACAGTATCCTAGGGGTTTTCAGCATCACCAAGACCTTTGGCACAAATGAATAATAAATAGAATAAATAACAAACCCATAAATATACATACAATCCTTATATAGCACATTTCTAGACACTGTACTCAAAATGCTTTACAGGTACTGGGGAATCCCCTCCACCACCATCAATATATGGCCTCCACCTAATGCAACGACAGCCACAGTGCACCAGTACACTCATCACACACCAGCTATCAGTTGGGAGGGGAACAGAGGCATGAAGCCAGTTCATAGATGGGGATTATTTGTAAACCGTGATTGGTAAAGGCCAATGGGAAATTTGGCCAGGACACCGGGATAATTCTCCTGCTCTTTTCGAGAAACACCCTGGAATTTTTAATGACCACAAATAATAATAATAATTGCTTACACTTATATAGCGTTTTTCTGGACACTCCACTCAAAGCGATTTACAGGTGACAGGTTGCGAGCAAGACCACAAATAGGAAAGAAGAAGAGAAATATTTGATCTGTCCCAAGGAGTTTAAGAAGCTCTCAAATAATAAAAAATAACAAAATACACATTATAAACCGCCCCTTGCAGCTTTGTTAAACACCTCAATCTCTCGGAGTTCAAGAACAAGGTTTATGATGAACCACTTTTGTCATCGGCTTACAACTTAAATGAATAGGTGATTTTGAAGACAAATAAAAAGAGCTTGGTGATGAGAAATAAAACGCATTAACCTTCCCCAATCATCCAAACATTCAGTTGTCAGCAAGGACATCCATACACAACTACTGCAGGTGGATCTACAACAACACTTGTCTGTGGATACAAGCTGCGGTTTCGCTGTACATGTCCCTCTCACCTCTGCGGCGTGAAGGAGCTCTGCCGCTTTTTCTCTGATGTCGCGGAAGGGGCAGCTCTTGGACACCCTCAGGAGCTGCAGCAGAGTCTCTTTGTCGAGCTTCGGCGAACTCTCTCCCGGTTCCGCCAAGCCGGGCCTCTCGCTACCCAGGCACAACAGCACCGCCTGGGTCAGCGCGTCCAGGGCGGCCGCTCGCTCCTTCTGGTCTCGGCTACACAGCCGCTCGAACTTCCTGGAGTCCCACACCGGTTCGGACCTCGATGGCTTCGGACATGGCTCCTCTTGATTCGGGTCCCCTGCCTGGCTCCATTCCGAGGCTGAGACAGGAACAGGAGTCATCTCCAGCATTTTTATAATATGACCAAGTCGATTAATTCAAAAAGTCACTATGATCTTCCGCTGCGCTATTGGCCCTATGCTCAGATGGCTATACTATTATAAATAAACTTAGACACAGCAGATATTTTTCTACCAGTATTAAACGATGCTCTAAGCTTCTTCGTTGCGTAGTGCAAAACATATTTGCCATCTTCAGGTGCTGTTATACGGCTAGCTGGAATTCAGAGCTCAAAAACAGAAACTGCATCCATGGCGATAATTCGTTACGACGAAAACAAAAACCCGTAAATTGCTGACGTTTGAGCAAAATCGAGGACAAATGCTAAACTGATAAAAGGGAAAAATACGAGCTAAAAGAACGAGATCGTTAGGAAACCAGCTGATGCAATTACTTCCGGAGCTGCTGTAATGAGATAAAAGCAACGGTGTACAACAGTTCATGGGAATTGAAGTTTTATAAATACAATCCCATATTTCACACCAATGAAGCCGAAATATACAAGGGACTACAAGCACGGAGACCCATGTAAAATGTATTTGGTGCTCGTGATTGGCTCCCTTGCAACCAACAAGAAACGCAGTAGGGAAACTCAACTACGGTGGCTGAGAAGTGAAGTTATTTCAGAATCGCAGAAGTAGATGAGATGTGTTAAGCGATTTTAATAAAATAAGCCAAAGGAACCTGATTCCCCTTCTTGTTTGTGACCGTGGTTATATTGTACTTATTGTTCTTTCCCGTTGTTATCTGGGAAAGAAAACATTAAAATCTGAACAGAAATTGATTGTTTCGACGATGTTTAGAAGTAGCTGTATGTGGCCCAGCGAACGCGGTTGACACCGGGTCTGCTGATGATCAACGTGCTCCTTTGGGAGTTTCTCAAACTGTGGTTTTGGGGCACACTTTGAAACTTGAAGACATTTTTTTTGTTATACAGTAAATATTTTAATAACATGCTCCTAATTATTCCTTATTTATTTAGTTATGGTCCATTTATCTTACATCCAAGTAGCTTATATATCCAGAAAATGGAAACGGAGTGCATTTATTATCTCTTACCGTTAGAGGCGTTGTAGTCACGCGTACCCCTTGCCCAGCTTCATTGCGCGGTCGGCTAGGCAGAGTACTTCGCTGTTGGTAAACTGTTTTAAAACTTTCACAAACAAGGCTGTCTACTGTATATTATTATATTATTCGTTCCGTGTGTTTGGAGTTTTACGACATATCTCTACGAGCTGGGACTGCACAGCTCCAATACTTTTGAAGAATATTATTTTTTTAAAATCCGCAAAGAAATGAAGTGAGACTTAAAACGTGTTTTTTTTTTACAAATAACCGCTATCCGCAAGTTTCGTGTCATTCTACAATTCATCATGAAAAAAACAACTTGATTTACTCACATGACAGCTTGGGCAGGTTGCGTTGAAAGTTGTAATAATTCGACTAAATCACTCCATTCAAACAGTGCAGTCGAAAACATCGATACCAATTCTTTCCACACATAGAGTGTCCTGCAATAGGATTCACACCCTTCCAATGATGTCTCACTTTGTTGAATTAAACATCAGTACAGTATGCGCATTTTCTTGGAAGTGAATGCATTTTTTATTGAAACTTGAATGGCTCAAACTGAACACTTTTATATGTAAAAGTTAAATGTCAAAATGCGATATCAGTGGCAGAGGGTGACAGCGTTTGCATGGCACTGGTGTGTGTAAATAACCAGAGAAAAGGAAACTGCAGACAATGCACACCTTATTTCCACGGACCTCCTCCACTAGGAACCCCAGTTCTTCCCAGGATGCAATTTAAAATGCTTTTCTTCTTCCTTTGACCATTAAAGTACTTCTGATTTGTGACTTAGAGTTCGTCAGGATGGCCGAGTGGTCTAAGATACCTGATTTCATGACTTACGTCTTTCCATTGCTTGGGTGTTCTGGTCTCTGACTTGGGGTGGGGGTTCAAATCCCGCTCCTGACAGTTAATACCTCTGATTTGTGAATAAAGAATATATTCTCATGACTGAAAGTGAGTAGTTTTCAATAGTTAATGTCACTAATGTATACAAATAATAGCAAAAAAAAAAATGAAATTAAGGTTATTAATGACCTGCATATTTTAATTATGAACCAGCATAATTGTCGTAATATCATGATCTTATTGCCTGTGTAAACATTAGAAAATTAATCTTTAATTATTTTAACTATTTAGAAATAGTTTTTAATTTTGAATTAGATGTTTTTTTTCATTTTGAAAATGGGAAAAAATATGGAGGTCATATCTTTTCAGTGTATTATAATGATCAGATCATTTATGAATTATTTGTAGGGTAATATTGATTTTAGTTCATGAAAACAGCATGTGTTTTCATTAAGTGAATTTGTCTGGTGTATTTATATTATTAAGATCAATTATAATACAGTGGCAGTGTAATTCCTACAGCTGGGCGCAATTACAAATCAGATCTATGTGAAAGAAGGATTCACAGATTTTTAAGTGCCCATGAAATTGAATTAGTTCTTACATGTTTGATTCAGGCATGCTAAAGTGCATTTGCAACTGCAAATAAATGACTTAATTAATTAGGCTGCTTGAAATGCCTGCAGTGTTCTTCCCATCTTTAATGAATGAATGACAGAAGTCAAACATAAACCTCCCAGACTGCAAATGAAGGACTTAATCACCAGAGATGTTTTCTTGCAGTTGATTACTTTTTTTAAATTATTTTATTTTATTGTTTGGATTGAGACTTTTATGTAAAGACTCTTTTTAGTGCAGCTGTCTCTACAGACTGCTACTCCATGCATTGTTGTTTCCCAGTCAATAAAGTTTTTTGTAAGAAAAATCCCATGTCTTTCTTCTGTTTTTTCTTCTCTGGATTCCTTGTCTCTGGCCATGGTGGTTTTTTACCCTGGGATGACAAAGCTAAATCTGCCAAGTAAAAGTTACGTTTGTCATATCTGTGCTTAAGGTGGGACTGAGCAGCATCTGTGAGGCACAAGATGAATCCCTGCACTGGGTAAGAGATAGAGTCAACACAGGGAAAGTGCAGGCAAGCATGGTGCAGGCATACACAGTCCGGGATTGTGGCGAGATACACGCATAGTTCAAAGCTGGAGAAACAGTGAAAGCACAAAGGGAATTCCAGAATTATAATCGAAACAAGTGGGCAAAGTTCAAAGCATGGGAAACAAACAGGTCCAAAGCAAAAAGGAGCAAATCCAGAGAAGTGGTCAGAGACAGTCTAGAGTTGAGAATCCAGGAAGAAACAAAACACAAAGGAACTCAGTAAAGGAGCTAAAAAAAAGGCTGAGGTCAGAGTTCATCTCTTTATCAGAGCCCCAAGAATTGTCTGAGCAGAATTGAAATATTCTGCACCATCTGATGCAGGATGTACATTGCCTGCAGGTGATATAGGTTTTCTGTCAGAATGTGTTTCCATGGTAACCAGCATTAAATGACAGGTGATTGCATGGCAAACCCAAGCTGGATCCACAGTGTCCCCACAGGAACACTGTGCTAGTTTAGCTGTTAAGGTGTTAAGATAAGCCAGGTGTTCGGAGTCTTGTCCTAGCCTTCCTGGCACTGGTTTGAAAGCATCACATGTTCAGAAGTGTGTTTCAAGAGGTTTTTGAGTGATAGTTGGAGTAATATTTAATATCAAAGAAGTATTTATTCATTTTCTTGCTTATTCCTTTGGAGACTTTTTAAAGTGTGTAGCATAAAAACTAATAACAGTTGCGATAAGTTACCTTTTTTTTTCAAAACTGACTGAACACCATGTTCCTAGGGAACAGACCCACAGTTAATGGCCATCATTTAAAATGTTTTATGTTGTTACAGATTCTTAGGAAGTTCTAAACGTGGGCTTGTTGCATGCATTGAAAGTAGAAGAAATGCCTTTGTGAGAGCCATTAAGTGACTGAATGAGCCCAAATCAATTGATTTTTATGCCGTGTTTCCTGACATAGCCGGCAGTTAATCAGCTCACCTAGCACGAACAGGACAATATCTATTTATGACATGACAACCAGGTCCATGGGGTAGGACTGTGGAATGTTTGCTTAATGTTCGAGCACTTTTACAACACCCGGTGCCAGGTGCCCTCTCAACTACTCTAACACAAAGACCACGAAGCCCAGCTGTGTCTCTCCAGGAAGGGAAGCATAAGTGACTCAAAACACTAATATGTGGGTAGCAGTAGTGCCTTTTCATAGGTCTATAGGAGGCACAAGGTCACCTGCCTATGATGCATATCTGAATTTCAGAGCACATAAGGTGTTGGACCTAGTAATGTTTGGGCAATAATGTACTGTTTGAAATACCTTTAAAAGATCAGCTAACTAAAAATGGAACAAAAAATATGACAGACTCCTGAAACCTGCTTCTTAAGCCTCCTTTACTTCATAAGAGAGATGGACTGGGATTCATTTGTGGAGATGCAGAAAGCTTATTACATTGTCCTCTGTACCACGGGGATACCAGGTGAGATTATAAATACTGTACCAACATTGATGGGGTGCATTGGAGACTTGTAGTATTTTAAACATGTTAGTGTTGTAACTTGCATTAAAAAAATTAACACTGGAAATACAAACTGTAGAGCTGTATAAATAACATATTGGTTAATACAATAATTTAACATAATTAAACAAGGTGTACAAATTACAATCTTAGGAAGGATCACTGGCTCTAAAAGCAATCTATGCTACAAGGCAGACAAATTAAAAATCATACAAAATATTAAAGACGAGAACAGTTTTATGCAAATTATGAGCAAACTCAATGTCAAATAACTATTTAATTACAAATAACATTTCAATCTTTCTCAAAAGTTTTTGAAGAACAAAGCTCATATTTAATTTTACTTAAGGGACATTTTGAGAAAATGAGATACCTATATTACAGTGCTTATATTGCTTTGATTTAATCTTATTGCTATGATGCTATGGTATTCCTAAGCAATATTAGGAATTAATAAATAATATGAGAACATATGGGTGCTTATTATTAAGAATTACTAAATTAATAATATACTGTAATAGTGTAAATGATCTTATAATACTACAATGCTTTAAATACATTAGGGAATGTACTAAATTGAATTTCAATATATGTTAATTAAAACATTCTGAAAAGCTGTTGCAGCTCAGTGGTCAGGATATGCAAGTAGCTGGTGATCTAGAATAAGTGGCTGCTGGAGGATTCAGCTGCTGCCACGTGCACATTAGCTATAGAACCAGCAGACCTGCCACAGATAATGTAACCCTGCAAATCAAAAACTTGCAGACTCTGTAGAGCACTTTTCTTTAAAATATATTAATTTCTTCCTGGATATAACCACATTCCTCTTTTATAACTCATTTATAATTTAAATGGGTATAGACAACACGGCCTCTAGACATCATTGAGTTTTCATATTTTACTCTAATATAGTATATAAACATTGTAAAAACAGCATTTCTTTACAAAGAGAGACTAATAGGATTGGAGTCCACTGTATTAGTCCAATTCCTTCACATACAAATCAAGAAAATATTTATATAAATCCTACAGGATATATAATTTAAAATATTGATATGCCTTCTATGTATAATATTAAAAATATATTACCATACAGAACTGTCATTTAAGGGCCATACCATGTGTTTGTTCTGTGCCATACAGGACAACTTAAACTATTTTGGCAACAACTGATATACAGTATTACTGGATTATGGCTTAAAAGTTTAATAATTTCTTCTGCACTTAATAAATTATAACCGTTGTCACGTAAAATCTTTCCTTTATGGTCGAATCTCCCATGTTTCCCCATGGCCTATTCTGTTGAGTTGGCCTGATAGGATGGGGAGTTGAGTACTTTTGCTGCTCAGCCTCTGTATCCATGTCTGAGCCCTGCGATCTGAAGTAAGACCCTTCTTCAGGGGTGAGACTCACAGTACTTATCTGTCCTCGTTCTTGTGCATGAAGACTACCTCTAAAGGCAATCCAGTTGCATCCGTATCAGGAGCCGTCCCCTGCTTCAGTGCCTTATGTGCCTTAGTAATGGCTTGGGGGCAATGAAGATACTGTATCACACCATAGGATAGAACCAGGGATTACATATCAGCAAGAATGCAGCTGCCAGTGATCCAGCACAAAGGACAGGAATACCTCCTCCCCGTACAAGTTTTCAAAATCCCTCTGTTTCCATGACTATCATGTAAACAAAGGCAATAAAAATATGGGTACCTTGTTTTCACAGCAAACTCTCATTTTAGTGCCTAATGTTTTCCTAGGTGCTGGTGTCCGTTTTTTTACCATCGGTGATTCTCACTCCTGGAGTCCTAGAGCCACAAAGGCTCCTGGTTTTCATTCAGACTTGAGCTTCTAATGACTTAATTAAATTGGTTATTGACTTAACACAAGCCTTTAGTCATCGGGGGATGATTTACAGGCAAGAAATGGATTTCCATTTGGAGGACAATGTTTAAATCCCAGACACAAAAATGAATAGGAATAAGGCAGGAGTTATCAACTCATTTTCCAGAGGGACTGGTGTCTTCTGTTTTGTTTCACCCTGAGTAGTCAGTTAAACACATAACCTAATTACTCTCTTAGATAGACATAAATTGATTATTTTAAAGTCCTACAGTCGATTACTTCAAAACATTTATTCAGTTAAAAGTAGTTAACTATAAATTACCTCAGAGCCCGGTTAGAAGAATTACAGTTATGAAGTTAAATAATTAGCCCTCCTATGTAATTCTGATGCTAGGAATTGAGTTTGAGACTCCTGGTATAAAGCTGTCTGCAAGAGGTATTACTGAGCAGAGCTCTCCAGCTCACTCATTTAGGTTCAATGTTCCCTCTCCCAAAACCCTTACCTTGGCATACCAAGGGTTTCTTTGGTTGGGGTAACCTTGAGATACTTTGGATCTACAGGTGCATGAGTCCTGAAGAAATTCTGGGGAGTCTGATCAACACTCGCTGAGAAAGCATCTGTGTCTGGGGAGTAGGAACCCCTTCACCATGCAAAACAGTGTGAGGAAGAACATAGGATGATTTATTCATAAGAAAAACATTTAAAACATTAAAAAAATGTACTGCTGTTTGCAATAGTGCTCATCTCCTCAGTCCCTGGAACCATATAGAACAGTGCCTGTGGATTAATAAGTTTTTCAATAATACAGTTTGGGACAAAAAATGATTCACTCGCATTGCTGCTGGAAGAGGTGTTAGTGGGGCCAGCAGGGGGCGCTCACCCTGTGGTCTGTGTGGGTCCTAATGCCCCAGTATAGTGACAGGAACACTATACTGTAAACAGGCGGCGTCCTTCGGATGAGAGGTTCTGACTCTCTGTGGTCATTAAAAATCCCAGGGCGTTTCTCGAAAAGAGTAGGGGTGTAACCCCGGCGTCCTGGCCAAATTTCCCATTGGCCCTTACCAATCACGGCCTCCAATAATCCCCCTCTATGAATTGGCTACATTACTCTGCTCTCCTCCCCACTGATAGCTGATGTGTGGTGAGCGTTCTGGCGCACTATGGCTGCCGTCGCATCATCCAGGTGGGGCTGCACATTGGTGGTGGTGGAGGGGATCCCCATTACCTGTAAAGCGCTTTGAGTGGAGTGTCCAGAAAAAGCTCTATATAAGTGTAAGCAATTATTATTATAATTATTATTTTTAAACAACTTTTGAAAATCATTAATATCCATTCATCTATTTCCTAACCGCTTCATCCAATTCGGTGTTCATTCGCCGGCCATCTCTCCCATTTCTGTGTCTCACAGCCAACCTCTTTGCTGCCTTCGTCATCCTCACCCGCCCCTGCCACCTCTCCAAGACCACCACCATCTACCTGGTAGCTCTGGCCTGTTCGGACACTCTGTCGCTGGTGTGGGCGGGGACTTTCAACCTCAGTCAGCTCTTCCTGGATGCAGATGACTTCTGGGGCTCATCTTCGGGCTGCTGCTTGGCCATCGTGCTGGAGTACGGCACAGTGTTGAGCTCCGTGTGGATCATTGTGGCGTTCACTGTGGAGCGATACCTCGTGCTCTTCCAGGAGAGGGCCAGCCGGTGCTTTGCTCAGCCCAGAGTGGCCCGGGGAGCAGTGGCGGGGCTGATCAGCCTCTCCTACCTGGCGTCCGTGATGGCCTGCCTCCTGAGCGAGCACAGGCGCTCCTCATTTCCCCCTGGGGAGGCCAACGTGACCGAGAGGCTATGTTCCCTTTTCAGCAACACGAGCTTCGTCTCCCTGCTGTGGATCCACACTTTCGTCTGCGGCCTGGTGCCCTACCTCCTCCTCATTGCCTTCAACGCCCTCATCGTGTACCAGCTCCACCTGCGCAGCCGCATCCACCCGCCTCCAGGGGAGAGTGCAGCCGCTGCCCTGTGCCGCACCCAGCTGCGCCTGCAGAGAACCGCCCGCCTCTTGCTTACCATCTCCCTGACGGCCGTGGCCCTGGGTCTTCCCCGTTTCCTGGTGTACTCAGCTGGCCTCGCTGGCCCGGGCACGGCGCCCCCTCTGGCCATGCTGGCGGAGATCTGCACCATGCTGGAGGCACTGAACTCTGCCATAAACTTCTGCCTCTTCTGTCTGGCCAGCACAGCCTTCCGGCAGGAATGCACTGCGCTGGTGCGGGGCTGTGCTATCCCCTCCAAACCTGCGCCCCAGCTGCAGGTGCCCTCTGACATGGAGCTGCCAAAGAGCTGCAGCAGCTCCAAGGAGTGACCTACCATTCATCCCTCGTGCCAACAGTGCAAGGGGCACAGTGGGCAATGTGGGCAATATACCTTTATAACAACTCTACAATTGCAGGATGTTCACACAAAATAATGCCTGCTACAAGAATAAGATGATAAATGAAATGAGCTGAGCAATCTTGCATCTGAGGGACATAGGGAAAGCAGTTAGAAGAATGGCGATACAACTGTGATTCTTTCTTTAAAGACACTGCTGTCATCCCCAGCTAAGATGAAGCGCATTCAAGGATCTTTCCCCGTTACTTCAGTTTAAGAGCTTCCCTTATTAAGCTCTCTTAGATGAACAGCATTCAGACAAGCTACTTCAAAGGTGACAGGAATGACAAAGAAGTTACACAGTGAAATAAAGTTTTTGGCAAAGCAGTGCGTGCTCTTAATATTTCACAGCTCTCTCATCTGCTTGTGTAGTCTGTGGTGTCTGTGTTGTTTTATGTACTGGAGCACAATCTGATAAGATTTAGTAGTCCGTGGATAATTCTGCCAATCACATAACTCATAATCGTGTTTCTATTATTCTTCAATGACAGGCCTGTAGATCTTCCTTCCTTTGTTCCCTATGCAACAGTTTTAAGTGGACTAATACCAAAAATAAAACTTCTACACAGAACAGCTCGTTTGTGCAACTTCCGTTTCCGAGATATAGCGCCTTCTTTTTCCGGGGTGTGATGTCACTCAGTCCCCCTATAACGTCGTAGGAGAACCGGACCGGTCTCATGCGGTAGTGCTGCGTTTGTGCTCCTTTCGTTTCATTTTTCTGCTCACACAAACGCACAGAACATACTGGTGTTAAATGCTAAATCCACCACCGCCCCTCACCCGGACAAACAGAGGAACAAAGTTGCAGAATTGTTATCCTCGCAGCAGTAACCGAGCGCTTGAACTCGCCAGACGGGGTCACTGGAGGTCAAAAAGAAGGAAAAAGAAGGCGCTATGTTTCCGGAACGAGAGCAGCAAAAACGCGAGTTTCAACGGCACAAACGCAGCACTAACGAATGAGACCGGTTCGGTTCCCCTATGACGTTGTAGGGGGACTGAGTGACATCACACCCCGGAAAAAGAAGGCGCTATATCTCGGAAACGGAAGCAGCACAAACACTACTTTCAACGGCAAAAACTGTCACAAACGCAGCCCTAACGAATGAGGTAGGTTTCATCGTTTGTGCTGTTTGTAGGGTGGGGGGCAACTTCACGGAGCTGAGAACTTTGCTTCTTTAGTCTGACTTAACCACATGACGCTTGCTAAATCATCTTGATGGAGAGGTGTCTTACTTGCACATGGAGAAAAACTATATTTACTGTCATTCGTTTAGAGAAATGCACTAGATTAAATTATTGTATTTATATGGCACTTTTCATTTTAAAGTCCTTTCAATAGAAAGCAGGAGCATAAATAACTGAATATCTTCAAATGTGTCAGCAAATTTGAACTTCCTGTTATGTAAAGAATTAAGAAACTATAATTCTATGTAAAGTCTGTTTACAGCTGGTGCATGCAGACATCAAAGGTTCTAGAGAGTGATGATAGTCTTGATTAAGCCTGCTGAAGTTAGTCATATAGTCATATAAGTCAGATTTAGTCTTCTTATATTTTAACGTGTACAGCCTGTGTGTAATGTACCAGAATAAAACAGTGCACAGCTGGGAATGGATTAGAAGAAGATACACCCCTGATGATAAGACCTATTGAGTTTTGACATTGTAGTATTTCCATCCATTTTTGAGCATTTGTAGTTGGATTTGGTTGTGTTTTTGATCAAACTTGTCATGAAAAAGTGACATTAAATTAAGTGACATTAATAAACATTGTTTTTTATACAATTGGCTGACTTTATTCTTTTTTTAACTGCATTTATTCTATATTGCCCAAGGCATTCCTTACATTGTGGGTGATGAATATTTAAGGTTTTGGTTGAAGTTGCCTATAATGACTAGAGCTACAAATAGTTCCATGCAGCATTCAATAAAAACAATACCATCTGGAGCTATTGAGCTTTTAACTGTTTATTTTCTAAAGTCCTACATAGCTTCGAGGGAAAGCAAAATGGGACTAATGTATTAGTGGTTTGTACAGTAATTTCAAATCAGTCTGTATTAAGAATGTAATTCAAAAGCCCAACAACATGGTGGAACATATTTAATACCAGCCTGTTGATAACTCTATCCACAGGTCTGAAGATGACAAACAGGATTGCTCAGTTCATGGATGGCTGTTAAAAAAGAATTCATTTTTCAGATTTTGATGGTATCAATAATGCACAGAAACCAGTTTAAAGGCAAAAACCTCATTTTAAATGTTCAATTTTAAATGTTCTTGGGATCTGTACACTATAAGATAAAAATATCTTGGGTTTCTTTTTTAATAGTTTTCACTCCTGTTTAAAGGGCTTAAACCCCTCATTGACTAAAGACTTAGACATACACATACCCTGCATTCATTTCTTCTCATTCCTTCCTTGAGAAGAGTCTCCAGAGTCTGTTTCTTCTGCTGTAGTTAAAGATGATTGTTTTTTGTACACGATAGTGCAACAGAAATATAAAAACCCCAGTCAGTTAGCCTCTTGGACCAACCAGATGACACATGGTGTGTCTGGTTGCGTGGATGGGGCTTGTGCTTCACTGAAGGAGCTGGCATGAGACTGGCACTGTCTCCGTGTCAACCACGGCTTGATCCTGCCGAGTTCGCCTGGACAGCCCTGGCATCTTAGCAGGGTCAGGCTCTCTCGGCGGAACCCGGAAGACACACAGCAGAAGAGGCAGAAATGGATGACCAGGCTGAGCCACTGCAGCATGAGGCCCACATCGGCGGCGGTGTTGAGCGGATCCGCTTGGTTATCCCTTTCTTGGGCCGTTAGACTTGTGCTGGCGTCAAGTAGGCTGTACGTGACGTAACGTGGTAGAGTCAGGCACACGGTGGTCACCGCCACCGTGATCTGGATATTGCTGGATCGCCGCAGCCTGGTTCGGGTCAGGCGGAACATGGCGCTATGGACACTCTCCACAAACACGCGGGCCTTCCTCTTGAACTGCAGGGTAATCAGCACACTGAAGGACAAGGTGAGGCCCATGGGCAGGAGGCCGGAGATGATAATATGCACCCACACCATGGCTCTGGAGCTGGGGGTGCTCTGGAACAGGCAGCGGTAGGTAATGGGCTGCTGGCTGAAGTTGGTCGGCAGGCCAGGTTCCACTCCTCCACCAGGCCAGGCCTCGTACAGCCAATAGCAGGGAATGCTGACCACCTGGGAGACCAGGACAGTGGTCAACACCAAGGAGAGGGCCACGTGTGGCCGGGAGAAGCAGCGACGCAAGGTGCCATTGCGCAGCACCAGGTAGCGCTCCAGCGTGAAGGCAGTCACAATCCACTGGGAGCTGAAGAGGGTCCAGTACTCGTTGAAGGTGATGGAGCCACAGAGCAAGGCACTCTGGTAGGAAAGCTGTGGGTGTAACCAGCTCTCAATCACATCCACAAGCCCCCCCAGCACCAGGAACAGGGTGTCTACCACAGCCAGGGACACCAGGTAAATGACTGTGGACTTTGATATACCGCAGGGCCGGAAACACAACACAAAGATGGACAGCAGGTTGGCTGGAAGAGAAAAGAGGCAGGAATGAGGGCCGAAGGCTTTTAACAGAACCATAACAGACAGCGGGCGTGATTAGATCAAAGCTTTTGACTCACCATATTGCAAATTCCGAACCCAGTATTTTATGCCAGTACTCTGGGTAGACGAAAGAGGTATCTGGTAATTCAAATTGCGGGAGGGCTAAGTGTCAATTTCATCTAGGGCAAAGACTGAAGTGTACTGGAAAATCACTCAGAGAATGAAACGCTGAAATGGAGGCTGGCTGTCATTACACACTGGCAGTCTTTAGCCTGTACCAGTGGAACATAAATTCAAAATTATTTTATATGATCTTAGCACTGCGTTCCAGAAACCTTTTCAGAGATTCTGACAGGAAGATGTATGCATAATTCCACATACAGGACCATAGACTCGATTTTAAGATTGAGATACAGAGTATAAATAATCCGTCCAGTTATGCTATTAACGGATATGACGAATGAGGACCTGAAATCACTATAGCCTACACTATAGCCCCACCCAGAGCTGGGGAGCCCTATTAGAACATTTTGATGGTGTGACTTCTAGCAATAGTGTTATATACATACTACCCACAGAGGAAAAACAGAATTAGAAGCACAGAACGTCTGGAAGAACACATATCCTCACCAATGAGATTGACTGATCCAGTGCCAAAATCTAAACACCATTGATAAAGTTAGAGAGATCCACCCAATACAAAGTACAAGTGAACTATACTAGAAAAATCACTGTGAAATATGTTATTTCTAAAACAAAGCAAATCAGAATTAAACCACATGAATATTTACTGAAGTAAAATTGCCACAATTGATAAAAGTGATTACTCTAGCACTTTAAAAAGGTGCTGCAGAAAATGTAATTATCATGTTATAACATGATTTACATCAAATAAAATAAATGCAATGCTGATATTATATTTATATTTCAACTTAATATAATATTTACTACATTAGTTGCATGGATTGCTCAAGGGAATTACAACAACACTTTTTTTTAAATCTGGAATTTCCCATGTTTGCCTGATTATAGATTATCAACCCTAGAAGCAGCTTCTTACCAGATTTAAAGTTATTTAAAGTTCTTCATTAAAAATAATGCTTCAAACTTTAAAAAAGACTGTCCGTGAAAAGTGCCCTTAAACTTACTGCCTGAGATAATGAGCTCACTTAACTTTTTCCTCATCTACATCATTCAACAGAAAACCATGACAGCGATAAGTGCTGAGTCAATAATGGGCTTGTGTGCATTGTTCTATCCTCATTTAATAATGGGGGCCTTGAGGGGACAGGTGTGACTTTTAAACAGTAGCAGTCCCTTCCATTCAAGAACCAACAATATACTAGCTAATGCCTTGATAATCTGCAGTTACTTGTTTGCTTCAGCAGCTCTTCTGGATCCCATTCAACTGAGCCGTTTATTATCGGGCTCATGTTGACATGGCTGAGCCTACACTGACAGGAGATTGAGAAACATTCACACACCTGATAATGAACAGCTGAATGAGGGCGGATGAGCTGAGAGGATTGTTTGTACTGAGCAATGAAAAACATTTTAGTTGTAAGTCACTGTGCTTCAAGCAGGAAAGGCCTCGTCATGGACTGTCATTGTACATCGATAAAAAGAACATTTTAGAGGACATTGTCAAATAGAAAGAAAAAAAGCCAGCTCATTTTGAAATCCCCTGTTTTCTGTGCAAAAGCTTAGCAGAGTTCGTCACTCCCCCAATCGATGCTAACTGCTAACTAATTCTTTATTATTTCTCCCAATATCATTATTCCTGATATACTGTAGGTCACTCTGAGCCTATTCCAGCAGAACAGGGCAGGCAGCAACATCCTGGACAAGACGTTCGTCCATCACAGAGCTCACACACCTACAAGTGTACAGGGAGAATCGAGAAATGCCAACTGTCCTAGTCCGTGTGTATAGGGGAGCTGTGGGAGAATCCAGGCCAGTCAGTCATCAAAACCCCACTTGAACATGGGTAAAAGATGCAGACTCTATACAATACTTATTCCAGTCCAGAACGGAACCTACTGTAGGAACCAAGAGCTGTGAGGAAGCAATAATAACTGCTGCACCACTGTGATGCCGTTCTTCAGTACTACTAGTGCCACACATTCAGCAGGACTGTACTTTAACATGGGGTTTGCCAGTCTGGTCCTGGGAACCATAATTCAGTAATTGAATGCTTAATTAAACCAACCCGTTTCTCGCATTAGAACCTTTTAAAGTATTTTTTTCTACAGAAAACGTTGGAAATTTTAAGACGCTTAAGAAAAACAATAGTTAAAAGGCAACCTCCTACATGTATTGGAACTGAAAACAAAGAGTTAAAAATTAAACCTGGTTTTAGGGCTGTTAAAGGTTTAAAAATGTAATTGAATATCTGGTGGAACAAAATACAGTAACTGTGTGGGTCTCCAGGACCCGGATTGGGAAGATTTGATTTAAAATACAGTTGAGTTGTTTCAATGTATATAAATGTGTTCATAGAGATTTTCTGTACAACCTATTTTCTGCAATTTCACATTATAGGAGCATGCATACTTTTGTTCAGACACAGACTTCTCCTAGTGTGTACTCACATTCTATAATCCTTCTCACATATTAGCGTCACAGTTCCCTGAAAAAACACAGTACTACCAGCAGGAACAACATGACAACAGTGAAGCACACGCCACAGATGAGCAGTTGCCTTACTGGGGATGCCGAGGCTGGCCACGAGGACGAAGTAGATCCCCTCGAAGATGGAGAACAATGACGAATCCAGGAATTCAACCATGGCTGGAACGTTTCCAAAAAGTTGTGCAATGTTAAATATTTAGCATAAGGTGCAGGACTCCGCGGAGTTCAGATGAAGAGCAACTTTGTAGCCCTCCAGCTCGTTCCTGGATGCCGTGGAAGGGATGAAGTGGGTAGAATGGACAGGTCGCAGTGAGTCACACAGCCGTGATGCAAAGAGGGTGTCCTGATCTGCTCGGCAGAGCGTGGGAGCAGAGCAGCTGCCCCCATGCCCAGCCCCTGCAGGACACGTGGACACAATGGCAGAGAACGGAGAGACAGAGGACTCGAATCAAGCAGCGCGGTAACGCAAACAGACTGCCACCTTTCTCCTTTCCCTTTTTAAACCCTCCCTCCCCCAGTGGAACTCAAATATAGACTGGAAACAAAGCTTAGATCTTTCTTTTTTTTTAGAATCTTGTGCTCTTGACGGAAAATGCTTATGCTCCAATGGAGTTATCTAACCCATTGAAAAATGAGCCAGACCCTTTCTACATATCCTACCTTATTTGAGTCACCCTAAAACAGTGAACTGATTATTGAGGGCCCCCCCACCATCTTGGATTGTACAATTCCATTTGAGATGTTTTTAAGTGCTATTGTAGTAAACATTCTTTATACGTTATTTCTGATGGCTTACCCTATCTGCCTTGCATGATCAGCCTCAAGTGATGACTTCTTCAGACCACAAGTAGTTCAAGTTTTCAAAGCTGAATGTCAGACATGAACAGTGGAAGCAGAAACGATTTACAATTAAACAAAAATCCAAACTTAACAACAGCACAACTTGTCTCTTTCACAGAGCATCAGAGTATGATAAGATACAGATATCTTTTGATTTATGAATAACTGATTTATGAATTTTTGCTACAATGAAGTGTGAATTTTTAATCATTTTTATTAAGAATGAACAATGTTTTTACTGTCAAAACTAAATTCCTTGACTGGTGAACATGCTACTGGAGGCCAAGGAATACACTTCATGACATAGGCCCAAGCATCCTATATCGTCCACTACATACTTTCTGGTGTTCAGTCATTAATAAGACCTTAATTTTAACATGTAATAAAGAAGCTTTATACTCTTAATGTATTCTTTATGTAATTAAGCTAATTTTATTATTAATGTAAAATGTTAAACAATATTTTATTAAAGAAAAAAAATCTTTAGTGTTTATTAATATTTTAATAAAAGTATCCATACATACTTTAAAGTATTTTAGTACTTTTGTTAAAAGTATAGTTAAAATACTATAATGAATGTGCAAGCAGTTATTCCGCACCTGAAGAAGGCTCCACAGACTAAATGTTGGTCTTTTCTTCTCAGCATGGAAAAAAACCTTTACTTGTTCCTTTGCACTTTAATAAAAGTATTTATTATACTTTCTATGTACTGCTTGTTTAGTAAGTTGTTTACTACTTTATATTCCATAACTATTGTATAATGTAAATATAATTTAACATAAGAAAAGTGGTTTGTTAGGTTATCACGGCTTTTAAAGTCAGTAACTAACAAAGTTAAAGGTTTACTCTTCCTTGCACCTGTTAATTGCTGGGAAAAGCTCCAATCCCCTGCAACCTTGAACTGGATACAAAAAAAATCAGTTTGAGAATGGATGAATGGATGATTTGCTTTCTCTGAAGTTTTTCTTAAACTGTTTAAAAGGAATTTTCTGAATTCGGAAATATTTACTACAGTTACAGACAGGATAACAAAATCAAGTGAATCACTTTTGAATATTTACTGCCATAATCGTCCTACCAACCTAACAGCGGCATAAAACACGCAGTCACAGTGTGCACTTTTTTCACACTGACAGCCAAACACAGGGCTGAGGTGTTTCTGAAAGAGGACTGAGGCCTCAATAGTAGCATGGCAAGTTCAGCAGTACCCCCGTGAGCTACAGACACTGCTGTAAATGAGCAAACAGGAGAAAACTGTTTGCCAACTTTTTAACACACACAGTGTGCAGGGTAGTTCCTGGTCACAGCAGTATAGCTGTGATCCTAACTAGTCATGTTGGATTATTTTTAGAATGTAAATATTGTAGTTTACCACTTGAGCTTTTTAGGAGCCTCCTAAAGACAGATATTCCAAGTAGGAGCTGCAATAATAATAATGAAAAAAATTAAATTAAAATGTTAGTGATCGTGATTATTCTGTTGTGTGTGTCTTACACACACGATTCAAAGACCCACATCTTTATTTGTAATCAATTCAGTAATATAAAAAAACTACTTTGCTCAGCTACAACTGAGGCTATTCAACATTTTTTTTGCATTTAAGTGTTAAAAAACAAACTTAACTCTTGTTGGGATTTTTAAATCTTTATAATTTGAAAACACAACTACAGTTACAAATAATGGAGTATGGCCTTATGCCCATTTAGCCTGTTTGCTTTCTAATGACACATTGATCTCACCCTGGTTTCTTTCAAGAAGTGACTGAATATCAGCTTCCTCAGCATGGTTGGGCAGCCCTGCTCCAGACCCCCATAACCTTTTGTATAAAAATGTGCCTCCTTTTCTCTGTAATACACATACACAAAGGTTTTTTGTTTCTTCAGTGTGTCTCTGCTTTGCCTATCTTAGAATTCTACTCAGTAAGCATGAACAATTTTAACGCTGCAGCTAGTTATTTTGATATTCTGTCAAAATTCAGATACTTAGAAATGTATTAATACTTTACTTGTGCCTGCCTGACACTTTTACAGCATGAAATGACTGCTGTAACCAGCCTGATTTAAACATTGAAACCCAGAGCACCATATCTGTCTCAGGATCAATACCATCTTTTATGTGCCTGCGAACGAAAATATTATGTAAAAGTCATCGATAATTCTGTTATCCGAGAGATGGATAAAATAAGCTTAAAATATTGTACATGAACATTTGCTATTGAAATACAGTTGACCTCTACAATTCTCATACAGATACAGGTAAATCTGTATCCTCCATCAAAAGTTCCTATATTATAATTTTTGATTGTTTATTCTACTTTCAAAATTGTTAATATCTAAAAATAAATTTTACCAAAACCGAAAACTAAGGTTGTTGATTTTATATAGTCTTCCTAGTATTTAATAAATGTAGTAGTTCAGGTGGGGAGCTGCGTCAGCATGCATAGGCTGCAAAGGAACAAGTAATAGGTTTATTCCATGCTGAAAAGAGAAGAAAGAAAACACATTTCGGCCGTGGAGCCTTTTTCAGGTGTTCTTTCTTCTCTTTTCAGCATAGAATAAACCTATTGCTTTTTTAATTAATGTAACTGTGGTTAAATAATCGTTTATGTCTGAAAAAGTCTTGTTACAGTTTGCTTTGATAAACATGGTCCAAATATTTTTCCTGGTTCGAATATAGTGATGTTAGGAATTTTATGTTGTGTTAAAACATTTTATCAATACCTGTGCTATACACATACTATATATACATTTAGGTGTTTATTAATAACCCCCAGAAAGGAACGGAAAATTCCCTCTTTCAAAAGTCAATTTTTTAAAATCAAAACTTTGAACTGTTATTTAAGACCACACTGTGCATTCAAAAGTAAAAACAAAAAATATCTGGGGACTTTTCGAAGAAACTTTTGTGAAAAGGCTGTCATGGTACACATGACATCACACATTCTGCATATACCTTTGTTTCCGAAAGGTTTTCCAATATACATAGTCTTGTCTTCCACATGTCAGCTGATCTGAATCCATGTGATTTTTGTCCTGTGGGGATGAGGGTAAGACCCAGCATTCCAGGCGACCCCACAAGCTATTGAGGATTTAAAAGCAGCAACTGAATAAAACATTCATACCCATTTTTCCCTGACACACCTGCGAATGTATTGTTCAAATTGCCTGTAGTCTTCTAAAATGTGATTGTACGTGGAAAAGGACACACTGTATGTTCTAACTAAGCCACTGTATGATTTTCTAAATTATAAGAATAATTTAAGTGCTAATTTGGTGCCCCTTGCTTATTAGAATAACAAACTGTAACGGTAACAAGAATAAAAAACCTTGAATGTTTGAATATTTTTGTTTTGAGGCCAAATTATGTACATTGTGTGCTTACTCTTCAACTACTAACAGTTTATTAAGTAGGGACTTTGAAATCCCGAACTCAAATTCCTGTGGAGTCCATGTGATGTACAGATGGATCTGAACCTTTACATCGGATTCCCAGGTGTTTGTGTTTAAAACAGGGGCACGCAACACCATTTCTCAGGAGCTGTTGTGTTCTATGGTTTTCGCTGTGTCTCTCTTTTATTCAATCAAAGGAAACATCTGAATTAGAAGTGAAAAAAGCATGTTTTTAAATAAATCACTAGATTAACATCTGCAGAAATCTGACCGTTGCCCATTCCAGTCTAAGTTTGCAGGGCATTTACAACTCTTCATTGACCTTTAGCAAGTTTTACTGAATATTAGTTGGCAGTGTAAAACCCATCTTTTGATCTTTCTCTTCCTGTTCTACAGGTATGTGTTTGTGTTTCACATACACACATAGCGATGCTTCCGTTTTCTCACGCTACCACACAAATGTCTTTGTCCCTTCAAGCTGCCCATCTCTAGAACTACTTGAGGGAACTAACAACTTCACTGCCTCAGCACACAATGCAGCTAGCCAGGTGGGGTTATTTCTGGAAGTTCAATCACTGGATTAGAGAGAAAAACACATTATATAGAGATTCTTTTTTCTTTAATGCACAAAAGTGAAAAAGAAATTAAAATAATAAGAGCATGAAAAATCAAGAAATATTACAAATCAGAGGCCTTGCTTGCCACCATGTCCAGTGTGTAGCCACCTATGGATCTAGGATCTTCATTCAAAACAAGTCTTGGAAATCATCAGAATGTACAACACAGAATCAGCAGTTTGTTACGTAATCCAGCAACTTCTTTATGCAAAGTGCTTCTTAGTTCCATTCTGGAATTTAGTTCCATGTTCTCTGTCCATATACTCAAGACTCAGCCAGAAGTGGGATTCAGGAAAAAGACCTCAATCAGTCCGCGAGGTCCTCATTCCAGTCCAGAAGGATTCCATTCTGTTCATGTGACCGACCTCACAAGTCACGGTTGAACTGTGTGTATTGAAAACAAAACTCACCCTAGTTTGTCTAATCAAGAGGCAAGAGACCCAGTAAGACACTCAAATGTGATTCAGAAGGTTTTGTAGGGAAAAAAAAATCAAGATCCATAAAACAAGATCAGAGCTAAAAGAAACTTGAGTCGTCAGAGACTGTATTAAATAATTACATTAAAGAATACAATAAAAATAATGATAACTAAGATCTTTTTTAAAATCATTTCTAAACCAATCCAATATTCTTAAAAGCTTCCTCCCAACTCCCCACAAGCCCAACCCCAACTTCTTTTGGAAAACAATTCTCAATTACTAAAATATAGGTAGGCAGTAATTTAACGTAATGCAATGGTGTGGAAAGTGCTTGTTCAAAGCCTCCCTCCACCACACCTACACCCCTCCCACTTGTACTGTTTCACCTCCCTGCAGAGTTCATACCCAAATGCGCACCTAAACCTTTTAGGTACTTAAGCTTAAGCAAAAACAAAACAGAGGCTCTTATTTCCTTCTGCTCTGCTCTGTGGTTAAAAGCCTTTGTCTCTCTTCAAGGGAGGAAATCCAAGGGACTTGTAGGCATGGCGACAGGATGCCCTTGTCAGTCTTTGCCATACGATGCCAGCCTCAGGCAGAGGTGTAAGTTGGTAGCAGGAAGTCAGGAGCTGCCTTGGCACAGCTCTGACCAGACTGTCTTTGCGCCAGGACTCAGGGGTGAAGCGTTTGTGCATAGAGGCACCCTGATCACAGGTTCTCCCCTGGCTGGTACTGTGGCTCAGTGGCGGTGAAATAGTCTTCCAGGAAGCCCTGCAGGTACTCGAAGGTGTGCCTCTCATCGGGGTCCTTTTTCCAGCACTGTAGCATCATCTCGTGCAGCGAGCCAGGACATCCAACAGGGCATGGCATGCGATAGCCCCTCTCCACCTGCTCCAGCACCTCGCGGTTATTCATCCCTGCGAGAGGGGCAGGGACACGGTGACTGCAGGTCAACACCAGACTGATACACACCCATGGGTGCTCCAAACAGCATCACTCACCCTCACCACAGCTGGATATAACTTTCCTGCACACTTACTGTGGCCGGAAACTGCCCCACCGGGGACTAAACTCTTCATTGACTTTTAGCAAGTTTTACTGAATGTTAGGCGGCAGTGTAAAACCAATCTTTTGATCTTTCTTTTCCTGTTCTATGTGTTTCTGTGTGTTTCACATACGCCGATGCTTCTGTTTTCTCATGCTACCACTCAAACTACAAATGTAATTGGGCACTTACTGCGGCTAGAAAATGAACTGTACCGTCACTAGCTACTAAACTCTAAAGTGTTTTTAGATTCACTCTTTAAAAAAGATGGCTATAATATAGACTTAAAGCTTCGTTGCCCAGTATCCAGTATGCAAGACATTGAGGTTACAGCAATTACCTGGGTAGGGCACCCTGCCCTTGGTGATGAGCTCTGTCATAAGGATCCCAAAGGACCATATGTCTGATTTGATGGTGAACTTGCCATACAGAGCAGCTTCTGGCGCTGTCCACTTAATGGGGAACTTGGCTCCTGCAACAGAAAGTGCAACCCTTTTACTCTGAACAGGGGGTACAGTAGCTGCTGCTGGGCTCTTCCGAGTGTATTCTGGACAGTTAAAGCCCACACACCCACACACCCACACACACACACACACACACATACACACACACCCAGCATCTTCTGCCGTAGAGTCAGTCGATCTTCACTGCATATCTGAAGTTCCCATTAAATTGTAATACATAGCTTTTTTATTAAAATAATATCAATAATATCACCAAATTATCAACATGCTTCCTATTAATGTAAATAACTGTAATTATTATAAAAGAAACTAAATATTCTGTGCCAGTAGGTTCCTGTAAACAGAATTCTTGATCTAGCCAAAGCAACAGACAGCAGGTCTGTCTCTCTGCACATGCTGCAAGACCTTTGTCCTCTGGTTTGGCCAATTTTTCCTGTCATAGATGAACTGAAAATCCGTAGCGGGACTTCTAAAGCCAACTTTTTTGTTTCAGGAAAGTGCCTCATATCCCTAATCCCTCATATCCCTAATACAGAAAATTGTATATGGCTAATAAAGTGATCTTATCTCTTATCTTATCCCCTGAATGAACCCCAGTTCATGTCGATTTATCAGCTTTATGAATAAATGTGTACGGGGGGCTCACCTTGGCGCGCGGTGTACTCGTTATCCTCGATAAGTCGCGCCAGCCCGAAGTCGGCGATCTTACACACCAGGTTGTCTCCCACCAGGATGTTGGCGGCCCGCAGGTCGCGGTGGATGTAGTTCATCCTCTCGATGTATGCCATCCCTGCTGCAATCTGAGAACAGCGCAGCACAGCCTCAGACACCTGACGTACCTCCCCAGCCAGCTGCCAGTCTTTACCACTCTGTTGAATGCTACTGGTACTGTGAACAGGCCCCAAACAGCCTTTTAAGCCCTTTCAAATTTGCCCGCGTTTCGGTTGTTTTGATGTATTGCAATGAACAGAAAATACTTGTGACACCACTTTGAGTTTATCTCACTTTTGTCATTTTTCTGTCATTTCTATATCTCATTTCGCAATGCCTTGTTTTGGTTACTGTGGACTATACATTTATAGTCACCTTAGGAGAAGGCATCATTAAAATAAAACATCAGCATTAGATCTTCCTATTCCAGTTTGGGAAACCCATTTCACAGTGTTGCCTACTGCCCAGAATTTAATGCAGAGTGCGACCCCGTATGTCGAAAAGTACCTGTGCTGCCATATCAACCAGTTGAGGCAACTTCAAATTCCGTCCGTCTCCATCTTTCAAGAAATCCAGCAGGCTTCCTGCAAAGCAAGCAGAGTGAGCTCAGTACCTGCACGGCCAGGTCTGCCTGGCAGGGGAAGTGAGGAAAACGAGGTCTGGTCTGGTGGTTAGGGCTGTGGGACTCAGGGAAGCAGCAGTGCTGAGTGGTTAGCTGTGAACAGGGAAGTGAGGCGGCTGCTTTTATGGTCCTGACTGACCCTAAGGTCCCAGCACTGTGTGGAACAAAGAACAGTGCTGGGCTGTGTGAATGTGGGTATCCAGCTATCTCTGTCAGTTCTGGCTGCCATGTGTCAGCACTGCACTGAGCGTGTATTTGTACTGTATGCATGTCAGTGCTGAGCTACGAGTCAGTGTTGCTCAGCTTGTGTGTTAGTTAGTACATGTCTCTCTTTTTTAATGCATCAGTGCTGTTGTCTGTGTAGAGGTGTGTGGGAGTTATTGTTGGTCTGGTCAGTGTGCATGTCAGTTCGCACCCTGGCTCATGAATTCGGTGACGATGTAGATGGGCTCTTCGGACACCACAGCATACAGCTGCACCAGCTTGTCATGACGCAGTCTCTTCATGATCTGGGCCTCCTCCAGGAAGGCCTCGGGGGACATGGTGCCAGGTTTCAGGGTCTTCACTGCCACCTTGGTGGTGCCATTCCACATGCCTGAAGAGAAATAGTCCCTCAGTCACACAGCACTGGAGACCACTGGATAACACACAATCACTGTAGAGTCATTGCAGAAACTCTACAGTTAGCATAATTAATTTTTCTTCCATAATGCATTCCTTTGGTTTTATAAAAAAACCTATTAAATGAATTTTAGGCTATGGAAAAGGCTATGCAAACTTCATCAAAATGGCAATGTAATGACCTATCTGAAAAATCAAAATATGAATATGTACAGTACATTGTTATTTCATGTGTTTTGTATCCACATACTAAGGAACCACACTCAAGTGTGTGGTTGCTGTGAGAGCTGTGTGTTCACTGCTATAGCTGCATTGCCACTGAATAACGTCCACAATGACACTTGCCAATGCACTTGCTCTGTTTAGGAACCATTCAACCTGTGGTTTAGAGCAAATTGTGTTTTGCAAAAAAAACACAGTTTGAAATTACTCATGCGGAAACCAAGGTTATACGAAGTACCAGTATTTAACTGTTTAACCATTATGAAATGCATTATGGAATCCTGAAGAACTCCCATCTCACACACTGTTTGGCAGGGCGAGGTAATGATCTGTGAAGTGAGGTGGTACTGTGATGACAGGGGAGAGCGGAGGATGTAATGCATGCAGAGGTGTGTTACTGGGATGAGCAGGCAGGAAGGGGGGTGACCTGCATGCAATCTGTTACTCACTGATATCAGGGTCTGACAGAACACATCCCCTCCTGAGGAGTGCCTCAGGCACAATGAACCGATTCAGAAAAGGCTGAGATGTTACAACGAGGGCTGGGCTATGGTGCTGTTGCTGCAGACTCAGAAATAATATTCTGAACAACAGAGGTTCAAGAAAAACCACATAATGTCACTTAGTGACACTTAGGATCTGAGCTTTCCATAGACGACTAAAGACTTTGCATGTTCCTGACTGGACCATATGTATGCTGTGAGTAGTCATTTAGGACCAGTTAAATGAGGATTATTTTAGACTTTTAGATCTCTGTTGTTCACATTAAAAAATTCAATGTCCAATGCATTTGCTGTATTGTTAATGTTAGTCAGTATATTACCATATTCTAAGATAAAATTATGATTCTGATCTCTATTAAAACCTTTTGGAAAACTAAAGTAGAAAGACAAACACTGTGCCAGGCTCACAGCGGCTCTGACCTCCTGTAGGGTTTTCTTAACAACACGGTGTAAAGGGCCAAATTAATTAGCCTGCGAGGAGCTGCTCCTCAGATCACCCTGGCTCAGCCCAGCCAAAAACCCATCATCCCCAACCTACTCCAACTGCTCTTCCAGATTGCTTATTGGTTCTTTATCTTTGCTGTATTGTATTGCATCACAAGTTCCAACGAAACCACCTTGGACAGTACTGAAAAAACTCAGGAGCTGTGCAATGAAATCAGCCCTTCAGTGAAAGATACAGATTCCTACAGTACTTCTGCAATCGTGCCAAGCTGCCTTGTGTGTGAGAGAACAAGTAAAGGTTTATTCCATGCTGAAACGAAAAGGGACACAGTGTTTCGGCTGTGGAGCCTTCTTCTGGTGTGTTCCAAACCTTACTCCACACCTAAAGAAGGCTCCACAGCTGAAACATTGTCTGTTTTCTGCATGGAATAAACCTTTACTTGCTCCTTTGCAGCCTATGCGTGCTGACACAGCTACATACTTGAACTTTCTTGTGTGTGTGTGCATCATCTGCTTTTCTTCATACTTAAATGCATCAGAAAACTAAGTGTCTTGGATCTCTTAAGTGGCATGGATCACATTTCACTGGATCCTCAACATACAGGTCCTACTGGGCATCTGGACTGCAAATACACATTTACCAAGAGAGTGACTTGAATTCCTCTCTGCACTGCTCTGCAGGTGTAGTCAATCAGAACATGAGCTGAGCGCCTGGCACGGCCCGCCTTACCCATCCACACGTCTCCAAAGCAGCCCTGCCCCAGCTTTTTGTTCAGGCTGAGGGTGTCACGGGATATCTCCCAGGCATCTCTGCCCAAGCCCAGGGTCTGGGGGGTAGAGTTTGGGCAGGCCTTGGTGAGATAGTAGCACAAGCCATCGTTACTACCTGGAGAGAGGAAGGGGATGCAACGGAGATGGAAGGGGGTGAAATGAATTGGCATGCAAAGGGGTTACCCTCTTGTGAGCCACTCCAGGGGGCGAGGTGAAAGGGATAAGAGAGAGGGGACCCACAGCGCACTCTATGTAGGGGGTGTTAAACCAGAGCCATTTTAGACATGGGTGTCTGTTATATTTCTAACCTGGGAAAAGCTTTCCAACCTGAATGTTTGCAAATATACTAAAAAAATCATTTTAAAAATCCAATTGATCCCAGGGATTACATTTAAGAATCTAATTGGAATGTAATGTATTGAATGTATTCTTGCATTCCAGTTTCACCTGTTCAATTTTCAATAGTGGTAACCTGATCAGCCTGCCTGTGGGGTAATGATAAAGTGAGTGCGGGCTCTTGTGAAACCCCACTCTTTCTTCTACCCCGTTGCAGAAGTGCGCTGTTGATTCCCCTCCCCCCCCAACACCGCCCCCTGGTGGTTGTGGCTGGAGGGGGTTTTGAGTTCCTACCCATCCAGACTTCCCCAAACTGCCCGTTGCCCAGCTTCTTAATGAGCTGCAGCGACTCCCGCGGGATCTCCCACACATCTTTGGTTTTGACGGACAGGTCCGCCAGCTTAGGCATTCCCTTGTGGCAGGACACCACCAGCCGACAGCACAAGCCTGCCGCGCGCTCTGAGACAACAAGGAGGACAGCGAGGGCAGCGTGGGAAGAGGCGTGATTATGGAACAGGAACAGGAGGAGTGTTGAAGAAACAGTTGAGAGAGCAGGAGAAGGGGGGAGAGAGAGGGACGGGTCATTTACATGGTGGGGTTTGTGGATTCAAATCCAGGGATGTGTGGGAGGAGGGCAGGGGTAGAGAGACCATTATCGATGGAGAAAGAGGGGGCGAGACAGGGAGGGAGAGATTGTGAAGGGGTGAGAGGGAAAATGACAGGGAGAGCCGGGAGGAGAGAGGGCAAGGCAAAAAAAAAAGCACACAAAAAGTTAATAACAACAGGCAGCACAAACAGTAGCCCCCCCAAAAAAAAACAAAATAGCTGAACCATGACGAGGTGCTTCAGTTGCTCCTGCTAGGTCTGATAGCTGTTTGTGCCGGAAGAGCAAAATTAGCGTGCTAACCAAAGCATTAACACCATTAATTGCCTTCAACACCAACATCATAACAAAAAAAATGAAACAAGAAATAGCAGCGCACGTAGCAGGGGCATTCAATCCTGTTGTGTTTCTAGTTTTTTAATCCTACTCTACTATTAACAACATAAATCAGCTCATTACTGGCTAAACTGGACCCATTCAGGTGCAGCTGCCGGAAAGAGAGCTAGAAAACTTGAAGACACACCGGCCCCCAGGGAACAGCACTGGGCAGCCCTGATGTATAGGATGCCACTTTGTGCTAAAAGTAGAATACTACACACCTCATACTCCGTATGAGGACAGTTTTATAACAATTAAAGCTAAAACATTTGCATTCAACACATAAGCAATTTTTAAGACGCAGTTAATAAAAAGCCTCACAACTCTAAAGTGGTTACACAAAGCTCTCTGTGATGTGAAATTAGAAGTGCCCTGGATTTTTTTTCTACATTCAGCACTTAGCAGACTTCAGGCCCTGTAGCACAATCATCCCAGCAGAGGGCACTTGAGGGTGTAATGCTGGCAGAATCCTGTTAGGAACACAGTATTTACCAGTCCAAAAAAGGGGGATCCTGAGAGTTTACCCCAGTTCTGATGAGAAGCAAAGCCAGAAGATAGAAGAAAGGATACATGTAGTCCAAAGTCTGCCCTGGCAATTTGGTGAATAAAATTACCGTTACCAAAGTAAATGTAAAGGGAAAGCACTGCTCCAGAATTGATTATGTTTCTCTCTACAGGCACTGCCACGAGTCTTTGAGTTCTTTTCACAGAGGGCACACATACCTGGCGGCACTGCCCCAGCACACGTCTAGTAACAGAGTGTAAAAGTCCCTCAAAGCTTAGCAACAGGAAATGCCCTTGCGGGTGAGACTCAAAAACTATAAAGTACTGTACAGCAAGGGGTTTGCTTTAATAACAGAGTGATAAACTGATAAGACCAGCTACGACTGTGCTACCACAACCAGAATGCAAACAAAATTAACCCTTGAGTGTGTTAAGATAATATGTTGGGAATTTTAATCGAAAAAATGTGAATTCATTTAGATATCTTATTAGGCTTTAGGGCTTACAGACACTGATAAAATTTCCATAGAATTTCTCACAGCAAACCAGCTGCACGAGGCTAGAAAACTGCTAAAAAATTCAACTGTTGCAATGAACCTAAGGATAAAACGAATTTATTAGCACCACGTGGGTTTAATCTTCATACATAGTTTTTCAAACTTATTTAACATAGGTTTTTGAGTCTTTCTGAGCTTGTGACTGACACCGTCTTTTGAGATATTCCGCGGAATATTTGTTTCTTGCAGGGCTGCTGTGATATTGGTCCACACCTCTGTGCCCTCTCGTGACAGCATAAGAAATCCATCTGGCCTTTCTAATCCATCTGGCAGTACTGAACTGAAGGATCGTATCTAGCCAAACCAGTCTTGCACCTGGGATTTGAGCCCACATGTTCCAGTTATGAGTTCAGATCCTTAAATATAGTCTGCCACATTCTTGCCCTATTATTTACATATCTGGCTGCCTTTGATGTTTTTAGGGTTCTTTGGGATGTTCATCTGAATCCCAAGTGAAACAATGCTTGAGCAAAGGTAATTCACCCAAACGGAATACAATGAAAACACTGAGCTGTATAAATAGGTTCAAATGTAAGTCATTTTGGATAATTTAGTTAATAATAATAATAATAATAATAATAATAATACCACCTTTCTAATACGTCCCTAACGTCACAAAAATGATTATCTGTTCACTGTTCCAAAGGCATGGCTTCAGTCAGCGGGGGCTGCGTGATTCAGCAGCTTTGTTTCTTGTCCTTGGAACAGCTTTACATACAACACCAGAAAGGCAGAATCCCCAGATTTTTTTAAATTAAAGTTGGAATCATGTCCTCTTTCCAAATGCGCAACATCTTGCATCTGGAGTGCATTTGAATCATTAGGTGCTTCGATTTCATCTACTGCATTGTAACGGGTTGTATTCATCTACTGCATTGTAACTGACTTCCTATCAGAATGCATCAAAGATAAGGACTGAACTGAAATCAGATGGCTCAGGATGTTTCAAGAAGGCAATCCAACAGCAGATCAGATGGAGAGCAGTCAAACATGGATCCCAGCCTCCTTCCTACAGGTATCCTCACAAAAGTCAAAAATTAAAATAGAATTGCCCACAAAACAAATGAACTTCTCTTCACAGAGAAGCTCTGTCCAGCAATGGTGATGCATTATTGAGCGATTATACTACATGACTCATTTACAAGCACCTACAGTGTTTATCGAAGGGACAGTTCCGCGGGGGCCACCCCCTCCACAGGAGCACATCCAGAACACAGCGCCACCTCTCTTACCTGTGTAGTGCTGCACCAGCTGCTGCACTGTGTCAAACTGCGTCCGCGTGGTGATGTAATACCCGCCGTTGTCCAGCTTCCGGATCTTGTAATGCTTGACGTGATCCCCCTTCATTTCGTCCCAGTCGCGGATGGACAGGGAGTAGGCTCCTGTGGCACGAGAGAGGGAGAGGGAGGAAGCGAGGCAGAGAGTGAGCTAGCAAGGAACAGCGAAGAAGGAGGAAGTGATAAAGGGAAGAGGAGCAAGAAAGGGAAAGATAGAGACACACACACATGCACGTACACACCCACACAGAAAACTGGGGAAAGAAACGAGGGGAAAAAAAGATCTATGACTCCAGACACAATACAAATGAAAAAGAGAGGGGTGGGAAAAAATCTACAGAGGCTCGCTCAATTACCAACAGCCAGAGCTGGCCAATTTCCCATTGCAGACATCTCACAGGAGGCAAGGATCAGAGGAAATTCTCTTTAAGCTCCGCTTCTAATCATCTTTATACTTTAACAGCAGCCCGTGATTCATATTCACAATTAAACTATATAAGGTTCTCCTGATTTAAATTGAATTTTTTTGCACTTTTCCTTTGGACTGCAGCTACAACGCTGACTTCTGGTGACACATGTACACCTATGGATGGTTAAGTAAAGATGCAACCTGATCCATAGGTCTCACTAAGTAGTGGACAGGGCTTTTCTTGGGAGAGCATTGCACCTGTGAAACACAAGGAAACTAGCGGAGAGGACACTGGCCAATTTCTGCTGCTGTGGTGTTTGATTAGATAGAAAACAGTACTGCAGTCAGTGTCAAAATAAAAGAGAACTGGTTTCTTGGGCTGAGAATGCATACAGGTTTAGCCATGTCCCAGACTTTAAGCATTATGGGGTCTGATTAGTGTCTGATTACTGTAAAGCATTACATTTCTTGTAGTTTTCAAAGCTCACACCTCTAACAGCTGTATGCGGTGCCATTTTTGTCTTGGTTTCAGAACTTCCCCTTTCTCCTTTATTTTTAGATTTGACAATATCTTTTCAATTCTCAAGGGGAGATTTTGGATGTGGTAACTCCCTTGGTTGGCTTTATACTGTAGAAGTTTTTAACTCGGGGTCACTGTGTCTGCTAGTTGTCACTCCAGCTGAGCTCGATATCCCCAAAGCTAATTGATTATTAACTCATATGCTTGCATTGTTATTGTACTGGTATTGTTGCCAACAACTTCAGCATACTGAGTTTCCCACAGCCTCTCCTCAACTCGTTTGTCGTTTCCTTCAGTTGAGGTCCGACTGGTTATATTTCTGGCAACATACCTGAATGAGGACAGTTCCCAAACTTAAAAAAGTGGTGTGGGGTTGATCCCAACCACAAATCCCATTTGAGCAGAAAGCAAATTTACAAAACTGTCCAAAACTGAACCAAAAAACAATGAGCGTGCGATTGCGTCCTGTAGGACCAGTGTTAGGAACTATGGCTATATTGCAATAAAGCCAGATTTAGTTCCAAAATGTAGCTGACCACCTTTGGGAGGTTTCTAATCGTCATGTCATTTGGATATTGAAATATAATTTCATTGACAACTCGGTCACATCATTTTAACAACAGGGACATACCTGCACAAGAGCATTCCTGAATTTTGCTTTCTGGATGGGAAGGGTTGATTGAACAAGTACAGTTTGTATAATCTCAGCAAGGCACCTCTGGCATGTAATTTGGTTGTCTGATATTTGCTAGGTCCTATTAAGAGTGACTGAACAATTTAAGCTGATTTTAATTGACTGTAACTGAAAGCCTGTTCCAAAGATACATACAATGTATATTTTTAATGGAAGCCAACATGAACTGAAAAAGGGTACATTTCTATATGACATTTCAAAACTTCAACTTCTACCCAGCTAAAAAACCCTTTAAAGCATGACCTTAACTCCATGTAAACCGGGTGTGTGGAGTAGTAAGACAGATGTGTGGCTTCCACAAAGCATCTGCTAAGCTATATCGACTTTATACAGACATCCGTGGTCTCACTCCTGGCTTTGCTAATGAAGCACTCTGTGTCCAAACCTTCGAATGAGGTATAAAACCAAGATCTTGTCAGGATTATGTAGAAGTAGCCAAAACACCCCCTACAGGCATCTAAATGTTCACTTTGAGCAAGTGGGTATTTGAAATGAATCTTACCAACACCTCTCACAAATATTGCTTAAAACCTTTTTTAATTCAATCTTTCATTTAACCAGATAAGCCAATTGAAAACAAATTGTAATTTACAATGGCCTGGAGATATAATAATACAGAAGGGCTAGTACTGGAGCTGTAGGAGTGAAGCGCCTTGCACATGAGTACAACAGCAGTGCCTCACATGGAGAAGGAGCCCTAAGGACTACTCAGACAGCTGCTGTCTGCTTTCTCTCTTGCCTTCCCTGAAGCAGCTACCTTTGTCATAACTACTGAAAATGGAACCCTTAATTGTCTGTATCCAATACCCAATAAGGACTGACTGTTCTACTTGGAGGTCATTATCTTTTTTTTCTTGTTTACTTTTGACCTCACTGAGATATTGTTTTACTTCACTTTCTGAATGACTCCTTGCCTGCACTTTCCACACAAAACTGAACACAGGACATCTTGAAAAAAAGTTATGAGAAATGAACTGAGACGCTTCATGAAAATAAGAACTCCACTTCAAAGACAGCCATTTCTAGAAACAAATAAGGAAGCAGGATCTCTTGATGTGGTCTGGTAGGAAACCTGATAACCAAACATACTGCATTTACCTTTCCTGTGCTTCTTGTAACAATTTCAACAGACTTTCAGATACAGTTCAGTGCCAAAAGGTGCTGAACAAACACACAAACAAAAGGCTAACTTAATGTTTCCTCCATGTGCTCAAGTGCAGTACTGTATACCGCAGTTGTCTAGATCCTTGTGCTACTGCCACTAGTGCTCTTGTGCTCTAGAACCCACTTCTCTCGTGCTCTAGACCCCAGTGCTCCATATCCTGGTGGTCTGCTATGGCTGTTTCTTTTGCCTTGCTAGCCTTTTGAAAGAGGGAAGCCAAGCTGATCGCAGAAGGTTACCTTTGGTCGTCTCACTCTCCCGGATCAAGAAAGTACCCCTGGGGTTCCCCGGGCAGAGCAGCTGCCTTTCAGCATCTTTGCGTCCCATCTTCCCGAAATACCACCTGAAGGGAACAGGCAGATGGGGGTCATTTCAGCAAAAAACATGAGGAAACTTTCAGCTTTGATGTCGGACATTTTCTTGACATCCTTCCCTATCATGTTTCATCACAGATTCCCCGTGTGTCCAAAACACTTGAGCTGAAAGACATATGACCAAACCCACTTCCCTACTGCCAGCAGAAAACCCTAAAGCATATTCTTAGAAACCTCTCTTAAGACTTTGAGAGCTTTCAGTTTTAATATTAGCATCAATGTTAAAGATTTAGTCACAAATACACAATTTCTGCAGTTCTTTAGTATTTAGAGGTTAATTACAAGTTAACAAAACTAATAATGAGCTACAGACTTTTATATCCCCTGGAGAACCCAAAAGTGCACAATTTATTCATGCTGAGGCTGAAAACTCCATTTGCTGTAATAGGTGGTAATTGTGATCCAAGTCTATGTGTGTTTATATCCACTGCTTATTAAATAATTATGAGTGTGGGAGCCATATTTCCTACAATGAGAGGTTGTAAAATGAATGAAACATGCTTCCCACTTCCCCTGGGTGTGGTGATACACAGGCCTGTCGTGAATGTCTCGCCGAGCCTGTGACCGTGACTAGTACTCACTCTTCAGCCTGTATGGAGTCTACAGGTGCCACATAATTACTGGGGATGTAGCCACTGTTGCCTGTGTCCAGAGATCGTGCCTCCCACCAATCCCCTTCCCTGTTGAGAGAGAAGAAACAGAACTTATGGGAAACACAGACAAAACTGACACACAAAGTTAGGTCAGTCTCTAGGATTCACTGTGCAACCAAAATTCAGTCACATTCCAACAAAATGGAATTTACAGGCAAATAAATGTTTTCTTACACCTTCATATCATTCATCCTGATAGTAAATACTGTAATTGTCACATAGCAGTTTGTTCCTCCAGAGTGATTCTTTACTCTCGGTTGTGTGAATTTTTAAATTCCTATTGTCCCAAAATGCTTCTCAAAATATTTTTATAAATCACAAGAGGAGAGAGCTTGGGGGAAGCATTTCACCGCTGCACCAATGAAAGATCACAGGAAGGGCTTCAGTTTGTAGCACTGAATTGTTTCATCACAATACTAGCAGAGGAACTCAGGAAGCTGAACAGTAATACATTCATCGTAAAATGAAAAGACAGCATCTGTTAGCTGAATGACCTTAGAGAGGAAGACCCAGAATGAGCATAATCAATGTCCTAATTCATGAGTTTCATTGCTAGGGTAATCTGGTTTGTCTGGCACTTGGGGTTAAGACGAACGTTACGCACGTGTTGTTGATGATGTGGAACTTCTCCCCCTTGCGGAAAGTGAGGTCATCTTCAGTGCGAGCGTCGTAGTCATAAAGGGCCACAAACAGGGTCACCCCACCACCTGTAGTGAGACAGAGTGTTACACACTGCTAGACAGCCACTCTTACAAACACACAGCTAGACGTACTGCCACAGCCAATAAATTAGACCTTCCCGATACTTACGCCAACCCAGTGTTTTTTCACAAAATGTGATTTTTATTCTTATGTTTTTTGCAATATTTAGTGTGTCTTTCTGTTATGAAGCAGTTTGAGATAAGCTTAAAAAATGAATACAGGACCAAGCACCATGACCTGATAAGTAGTACAGAACACCACAGTGACCTTGAGACATGGTGGTTAAGCACACTACTAATATTGCACCTGTTGAGCAAACCAATGTCAAACTTCCTATTGAAGTTATACAGTAAATGAAATCTACAAAAACCCTTCTTTATAAAACATTAAAATTAAATATTTGTACACCACATAGTACTGAAAAATATTTCTACATATTTATGACACATGCAAGGCATTTATTGTTTTTCCTACTATAAGTAACTATACATATTTGAATGTGTAATTGGTAACTGGTAATTTTTTTACCAGTTAACTAGATACTGAAGAAGTCATACTCATATTATTTTAACACTTTTTTATTTGTCCTTGCTATAAAATCTTTTAAAAAAAGGTTAGTTATGTTTCCAATTGACATTAGACAAAGTTAACAACTGGATTTAATGAAAACTTCGTATAACTGATGAGTTGAAACTTTCAAATTGCTGTATGAATGGCTTTGAACTTAGCTTTCACCTATTTCTTTCCAGTAAAATCGATTAATGTGGTTAATATTTTGTTTCAGCATTCAGTGACTGATGTACAGTTTTCACTGTGCAGGATCCTTCATCCCTTATTTTCCTTTCCTACACAACTATTTAAAAAATATTTCAAAGGTGTTGAGGAAATCAGGGATGCGCACCCTAAGAGTTAACTTAAATATGAGCTCTAACACAACTGTTAAAAATACTAGAGCTTGCATTATAAACCTGCTAAGCAATCCTGCCCACTTCTGGTTATGAGTTTTTGCAGCCTTGGGGTTAGCAGAACCTAGCAGATCAACTAAATAAAGAATCCTAAATGAAGAAAAAATAAGCTAGCTTGGTTGAAGTTACTGCGTATTTGCCACAGCTTAAAGCGAGAGAGAGAGCTCATGAAACATATATCGCTATATTAACTCATATACGAAAGTTTCATTATTGCTCAGTCTCCAGCGTGTAATTATCATGCAACATTGCTTACAGAGTAAGCATGTAGTAAGAATGTAGGTAACGAACTTGGCTTTTCCCAGCATTCATTCTGCAATCCCTTCCTCCTCCTCAGCCCTGCCCTTACAGGATCTCTGTGACTCAACAGTCAAACTGGGGGGCCGTTCCAGTAACCTCAGCCTTATTACCAACCTGTTCTCACTTGAAACTGTGTCAAAATTAAATTTACAGGTCCAATCGCTCCCCAACAATTCTCAAAACTAGGGTTAACCCAAAGCTACTGAACTCCAGCTCATTTGTTCCTGATTTAGAGATGAGCTAAGGAACAATGTCTGTCTGAGGGCCAGGTTAGGACCGTTGTGCTGAATGCCAGAGAATGTAAGCACTACTCATATCACATTCAGCTATTCATTATAACAGATGCTCAAAAGACTAAAGCAATGAAAACCTGACATTGCGGCTTGAGCCACAAACACAAGCCCTGATTGTGACTATACTAAGCAGTAACCATTTACCTTTGAGGCTAACGACAGATACACAGCAATGAACTCACAGACGCAGATAATTGAGCTTTTCACACAGGCAGGTCTATTTATACACAGTGCTGCAATATAGAACATACAATAACGGTAATGAAAAAGCAGCACGCAGACATGCCTGCTCAGAGGTGGTGTTTTCAATATGGTACCTCAGGAGCTTTCTGCAGTTTGTAAATCAACAGACATGGACATTGATCATTGAAAATAGAAAGAAGGTAGGAACATGTTCCGTCTGAGAACTGACTGATTTTCAAAGAGGATCTCACATTTACCTGGTGTCGAACCTCATTGCTGCTCAAACAACATTTTTCAATCTGCTCAACAGAAATGTGACTGCACTTTTTCACATTAATCTCTTACCTCTGGAGACCTGCTTTTAATATACACTGCCAGTCAAAACTTGACACTCCACCTCATCAAATCTGATCAATCTGATCAAAAAGCAGCTATGACAGAAAAGAGCAGTCTAAACTATTGATGCACATCGAATTTTATTAACCTTCTCAGAGAAAGATGCAGAGGATGTTCAACTCACGGACTGTTATCATAATATCCTGTCTTGACAACGATCACAGATGCACATTCTCTGGTGTTCTACCACAGAGCTTCAAATACTACTACCAAAAGACAAAAATAAATCAAAAGCAAGTAAAAAAAGTATTTTTGCCAAACATTAATAATGAATATTTTAAACAAATATCATGTGAAGAAGTTTGAGTAGGTATCAGTGTCAATATGGGTAGTCTGCAAAGGAACAGATTATTATTGCAATGCTGAAAGGAAAAGAAAAGATAACAAACATGGAATAAACCTTTACCTGTCCCTAATATTTATCATGACCCATAATGTTGTTTTTTCATTTATAATATCTTTCCTTTTTCATACCAATTAAACATATTTTCCCTAAAACCCCATTCTTGTTTTCCTATAAGATATTATCTCCACTATTCCTCGTTTTTTACTCGTTTATATATTTGTTTATTAAGATACTGATTGTATCTTACATATTTGTCAGAGTTCACTGAAATGTTCAATTATTTGGTTTATTTTCTAATTATTCTGTATAGAGTGTTTTTAAACCTGTCTAAATCCAACATCTCATGTGTACATGTCAGTTAATGTGATAAAAACCACATGTGCCACCATAATATCATGGTACTGCTGTCAGGATTGGACTGGTAGACATGGATCTGGGGTTTATAAACCCACCTGTGCCTCAGGCAAGACAGGAAAGACAGGAGAAGCAGTGGAAGACAATACTACAGCCAGAGGGCATTGACTGCAGGCCTTGAGGAAGACTCCACGATCATCTCTTCAGCTCTACAGGGGAAAATTGTAATATTCCCTTCCATAGGCGATGACCCACTAAATATTCTTTTAACATTTTCTGTGTACTCATTTTCCTATTGTCCTCAGAAATTAAATATATCTATATATGCTGACTTGGGTTTCTGGCCTCTCTTTTGAATCTAGACAAGAGAAATTAATTTTAGGAAGGGCGAAGGATCCTTTGGAGTATATACTAAGCTACATTTTAATTTTATCCTAGATATTTCTCCAACACAATCATACACTTCTTATGCTGTGTGATAGAAACCCCAGAGTATGTCAAACTGAGAAAAAGAAACGGCTCCAGTACAATACCAACAAAACACATCCTGTTGCATTTCGCTTTGAGAAGGTTAATAGGTTAATATGTATTATGACTACCAGGGTGCACATGTTTAAGCTAACACAGCTGTTTAACTCAGCTGAAACTGGGATCCCCCAGTGAGAATAATGGTTCTGAAATGAAGGCTTGGCCCAACATGCTACAGAAGAGTGCACTTCCCTGTTTTGAGAAGCCATGACAGCAGATATTAAGAGTGCGAACTCTGACCTGTGATGCCACCGCCCCCTCGGGACTGCAGTGTGGCGGAGGGGTATGACGACAGGGCTCCGAAAGGTGTTGCCGCGGGGACGGTCGTGCCGGAGAAGTTGTTGAAGTCGGGGATTCGGCTGAAGTTGCTCTGCTGGCTCTGATTCGTTGGATCGGGGCCGTAGCGTGGGTTAGAGGCCTGTGGGTTCCCATCAGCCACCACTCCCTGGGCCTTGGAGGAGGCCTTCTCTTTGCAGTGCACACAGCCCATTCTCGACGCTGCGCCAGAAGACAACGAGCACAGCACTGAGTCGCCCGCAGAACACCTGACACAATACCGACGCAAAGCCGAAAATCATTTCAGATGTGCTTTAAAAAAACGTCGACCTTGTTTCCAATCAGATTTATGCCCACACTGAAATGTTCATCCACATTGCAATGGTTGAAAATGGTTTGAAAAAAAAATGAAACAAGAGGGGCCTTCTGAGTGGTAAAACAGGCTAAATTACTCAAATGCAAGTAGGGATATCTTATCAATGTATTGCCACGTCACCCAAACTACTGTGGCCAAAACTCTTCAAGTAGCAGCACACAATTGACTGAACACAACTGAGGGTCAGGAGGGAATAGTCAACTAGGCTTAGCTCTGAAAACACAGTGAGTTTTGTGGCATTACAGATTGACATATGGCTTTATATGTTAAATAACTGTACTATTAACAGTAAATGATGTGCATAAGACATGATACATAATCAGACTTTTATCTGCAGGATGTCTAAAGCTCCTGTTTTAATGCAACATGTCTATTTTACTGCTGTGATCCTCAATCTGCCCAGAGCTCTGTACAGGCTGTCCTCTGCCCAGCTCTCTCACTAACAGTGACCACCTGAAGCTGTTCCATTCTATTGATTTGAACAACTTGCTTTTATTTTTCTTCAGCCCTAATGGGACTTCCTTTTCTTTTTTTGTGTTTCAGAGTATCTGTTCATCTCTCAAAGAGCACTAGCTAAAAATATCACGAGACTTCTCTGAAATTCAGCCACACACTGGTTGTTCATTTTTCATGCTTGAACATATTCACTCTTCTTGCTGCTACAAAGAATCCCATAGAACCAATTCTTTCAGGCTTTAAATTTTATGTTTATTTTTTTTGTAATGTTTATATGTACTGTTTGTATGTATTTTCTAAGTCTATGCACATATAAAACACAGCTGTTGGAGGAAAAATACATTACTGAGAAATCAGACAAAGTATTATCGTATCAAGGCAGATATCAGCTGCATAAGCAGACAGATATATACAGATCTACGTATAACATATCTGTATGTACGCAAAAGCTTTTTTACCCTTCTTTTAAAAAAAATTAAATATGAGACAACGTATCTGCCTGAATGTTTAAAATCACTAAGAAAAATAAAATGAGTACAATTACACAGAGACTGTGAGATAATTTTAAATTATTATTGAAAGAAAGTGCTGTTTCAACCATACTTTCTATATTTCAGTCAACAGCTTTACAGCACATTCTTCAAAGCTGGGACAAGGCCCTCGTGTTTGACAGCTAAACAACTCCCAGATTTCTCTAGTAATGCGTCTGTCAGCACCTCCCCAGCACACAGCCCCAGGATGCTGTGAGAGAGTGCTGCTCCTGCCAGCTATTGTTCTCAGCTCCCTGCACAGGGAGCCCGACTGTTCTGGAGCCCTGGGGTTCTGCTCCATCCCAGCAGCTGTGCTCGAACAGAGAGAGATTTTTACTTCCAGAATGCATTCAGGGCAGGTGTCTGTGCAGCTTCAGAATGAAACATCAGGAACAGTCTTCGCCGAGCTCAACACTGATGCCAAAATATGGAGTAATGGATTATCCAGGCACCAGTGGCTGTTTTTCTGTACTCTTTGATAAAAGTATATATTTACCTATTCCTGTATCTATTCACAATCGTTTTGTGAAATTCACAAAACAAGACTGTGGCACTCACCACACTCGAGCCATGCGTTTTACCTGGCTAAATGAAAATGGGGTTAACGGTGAGCTGTCATTTCCGGGCCAAGTTTAAACTGTAAGGGCAGACTGCACCAAAGAGCATTAAAATAAACCTGGGCTGCAGCTAATGCTGGGATCCTGTTTAAACAACCAATAGAAATCTAAACCCCAGTATCAGCTTTCATTTACTATTGTCATTTTGTTTGTACCCCAGCTCTGCCGTTCCCAACTTCACACTATTTTTCTCTTGTTGTTTACTGTAGCTTCAGGCAACACTGCTATGAAACTGAAGAAATTATTTATGCTTTGGAGGTCACGTATTCTGAAGCAAACCTACCAACCTACTGCTGTCCCCAAGCCCTCTGCATTGTGACTCTGTGTTTCCTTTTTTATACAAAACAATACCACGACCATCTTGTAGCCTTTTGCTGTGAACTCACAGTTAATCCTCACAGATCTGTCATAGCACAAAAACTGGCCTTTTAGCGTTATGGATAAGTAAGGAGGAACAAATGATGTTAATGATGAGAATCAACGATAATGACTGATAATGACTTCAATGAGATTTGACTGGTAAATGTGATGGATTAGATATTACAATACTTCTTATCAGATGCTGCAGTACAGTTTGCCTTGAGGTGCTGTGATCACGTTTTTGAAAACTTTGTTCATTGTGAAGTAAAGATGACAAATGACAAACAATTTCTGGACTCCTACTGGGCCATATTTATAACAGGTTGTTAAAATTGTAATATTCACTAGTGCAGGCCTTTAGAAAAATTGCTGATGCTTATACTGTACTTATATTCTAACTCTTCATTGTCACAAATGTCTAAGACGTTTGCACAAGTGTGTATATAGTTATTGACATCCTTTTGACTTTTACACACAGTTTGTACAGTATAATGAATATTTCTACTTGTACAGCACATTGTATGTATACATGATTGCAACATTATTTCTATGCCTTTCAAATCCAAAATCTGAAACCAGAATCCCAAACTGAAACCATTGTATCTAGGCTTTTTTTATCCTCATTAATATTATAATTAAAAAGCTAGTAATTTGTTAACACTCCAAGAGAGGACATCATACTTACACCTGTATTTAAATACAATAAATAAATGGTGCAACGTGATTTGTATCGCGGATCAAGAGTGATTGTAGATTAAATATATTTATCCTTATATATGATTTAAAGATCATCCTCAGTTAAATTTGATTTTGTGTCTAAGCCTTACAGGAGAAAATCGGCCTTAAATACAGTCCATTATTTTGTAGTAACTCCTATATGCACTGCGCTCAGGATAAATTAAGGTTAGCCCCAGTCATTACCACGATGCAGTCCATTTAGCTAACACCATTAGCATGTACATGGTCCTGCCCTTTCCCTAGAGCTCCCTGTGTAAGAGGCCCCAGCCTTCAGCCTCCTCTCCTAGTCTCTGACTCACACTGGCCCCTGGGACACTGACAGAACTGCCCTTCCCTTGGCTCTCCCACCCCCCTGCCTGCCCTGGCCAAAATATACCTCATTTCCCCTTGGAAATCACACCATTCACAGCCCCAGCTCGTAACTAGCAACAACAGCTACAGGAGAGTCGGGGGGGAGGGATTTCTGAGGCCTTGGATTTAGGCCTATAAAACAGTGTGTGCTTCTAGATTAGCATGGGGCAGGTGGGCAGAGAGGCAAGGGTATCACAGCTGAGGGACCTGTGAGGGGTTGTGAGGATAACCTGTCAAAGTTTCAAAAGGCAGGATGAAATACTCTCTCTCAAAGAGAGAAGAAAATGTATTTATTCCTCATTGAATAATGACGCTAGGCCTCATTCATACAGTGACAAATCAAACCAAATCCATGAAGACTGACAGTATTTTCAGTTAATGCAGAAGTCATTATTCCTAACGAAACAAAAAATGTTGCTGATGAGGTCTAAACCAAACGATTTAGACCACAGGCTTCATGATTAAAAATACCGCAAAGCATAAATAGTTCTGTTCTTTGTTAAAAAACGTTGATCAAAATAATTCTCAAGATTCATTATGTAAAAAATACACACAGCTCATGTGAGAATAGCCTGACCGAAACTAAGATCTATATACAGAGACAGAAACAAGGAAATATTAAACTTGCACAATCAGGAATCTTCCTCCCATTCATCTCAATATGACAATTACAACAAAAGTGTGATTAGAACCAAACATTTCCCTAGTCCTAGAAAACACATCTAAGATACTGAAACTTTTTAAAGAAACATTCAGTATTCGTCTGTTGGGATTTTTGCTGTGAAAACTTTTATCAGCAAGTCGTATTGTACAAAGAAAATCTTAAGCATAAGCATATTTCTAAGATATGCTTTTTAATAACATACATTTTAAATTTGTTATAATGCTCTTTAAAGGCCAGAATGATTTAGAAAAATGATCTGTAGACCTATGTGTATTAATTAAATATATGGAACAATAAATTATGTTGGATAATTTTCTACGCTGAGTGAATGCTACAATGCTGTGCTAAAAACATCTGTGTGACCAAGTGTAATCTTCCTCTAACATTTCTCTGCCAAGCTGTCCTCATTCTGCTTAAATCAGGAGGAACCATGGTCTTACCAAGTGTTCAATTATATTGATCTTGTAATATGAATAATTAACTCTTTCGTTGCTTTCAGTTCCTAAACTTATTGAAGGTTGGCTCTAAGCTGTTGAATTTCAGATCTAACTTACAATGTTGAACTTTCGTTTTGAAACATAAACTTGCAAAAGTTCTAATCAAGCGGCGTGTTAGTTCAATGAAGCATTTAATTAAGTCAAGAGCTGTAAAATCTGTAACAAGAAAAACAGCATGTACTGTGTGTGAGTCCTCAGGACCAGAGCTCAGGATCACTGGTCTCAAGCTTCTCCTGCTACATTACGATGACTCTAAATCAGGGGTCTGCAACTGTAGTCCAGGAGATCTGCTGTCAAACAGGTTTGCAGGTTAACTTTTAACAAGCACTTAATGCTTTATATTTTATATGTGTTACAATGTGTTACAATGTGAAGAACTTTTAAAGATTTTTTAACAATAATCTAAAAGGACTAGACATAAATCTAGCCTTCAAGGATATTAATGAAATCTGTTGTCTTTCCTGTATTTAAAATATCTTCCTAACCATGAAACATTGATAGCAAGATGCAAGAATGTCTGTTCTCACTGCAGTTTTTTATGTGTTCGAAGGCTTAGTACACTAAAAACTGACATTGCCTCCTATGCTATCTTGAATGATTACTACATTTAAGACATCTGAAATGAAGCCTTAATTGAGCTAATGAGTTGCTTGATTGGAACAATTGCAAGTTTTGTTCTACAGGAGGCTGTCTATGAACTATTCCATTTTGGTTTTAGAGCTGAAAGTTCAAATTAAAACTATTATAAGTCATTTACGGGTTCAAATGTGTAACATATTTTGGCGGGAAGAAAAACCAGGTTTATGGACCTCCAGGAATAGGATTGGGGACTCTGGTATTGACACTGACAGTTCTATGCCAAGGCCTTAAAAAACATAAAGTAATGGTTATCACCAGGCCTCTATGGTACATTTGATAGTATTAAAATGTTTTAACAGCTTTGACAACAAATAAACATGAGAATCCACAGAGCCCCAGCAGCATCATTCTGAAGGGCTTGCCAGCCATGGATCATACAGCGGTTCTATCGGGAGTTAAGAAGTGTGGATACTGTACAAGTGACATCAGTTTCAGGAGAGGGTCGCTGAGGCCAGGCAGTGATCTGTGAGTGACCTCATTGATTTGGACCAGGCGAATGGAAAGTAGGTGTTGAAACCCAGGCTTGGCTCAGCCTGAAGATCTGAGGACACCATAATTCCTGTAGTCTACTCCATTGCCTCACATGTGGCAGAGTGGTGTGTTACTTGAAGCGGGGCATTGCAAATCGAGGAAACAAAATGCATGCAAAAAGAGCATGAAAACTCATGCTGCCATAACTTAAAAAAACAATTCTCTTCAACTTCTCTTCAATTCTCTTCAAAACAGTGTTTTTCATGTTATCTATTTTTAAAGCGTAGCAGAATTTCTAGCAGCACTTCTGTCTTGGCTGTTGACACGGTACAATGTAACCTCAATGTAACTTCTTGTGTGCTGTGTTCCAATCAGCTTAGATTTGTTTGCTTCACTGAATTAACTTTCTCAATGAGTATAGACACCGTTATACAAATATCTTTGATTTTTTGCAGCATAGGGCTCTTTCACTCAGTATTTTTTCTTTATACAAAATCAGTTCTATGGCGACTTTATACTGAAAAAACTAATCTGTTTTTTCTGCAGTCCGGAAGGTTTATTTGGTAGACTGTCCTTGAACAGCTGCTGATACAGTACAATATAAGCATGTATCCTCTTGTCTGTTGTGTTTCAGTCAGCAGAGCTTTGTGCTACAGGATTTGGGAAAGACCTGCTTCCTCTCTGAGCATCAGTGCAACTGAGGAACCCTTGAGTCTTGCACAGTGAACACCCACACCCCCACTGTGGTATGTGACACTGGCAGGAAAGCCCCTGTAGTGCCCAGCGCCTCCACACTGACCTACTTCTCCTCTACATGATCTACACTAAAGGACATGCTCGGGGAGTAGTGCTGGGAGCTGTTGGCATGATTGTCTTCATTTATTTCAGAATCAACCATGCTCTCTTCATTGAAACAACATTCTCACTGAGATATAGACACTGTTATGCAAAATTCTTAGATATTTCGCATTGTTCAACTCTTTAACTCAGTATTTTTTCCTTATTTATGCAGAGGCAATTAAGGCAATCTTACACTGCAATTTAAGTCAGATTGCTACAGTATCATAAATAACTGTGTGTGCATTTGTGTCAGTGTACAGAGAGGATGAAGAAATCCATTTCTAATTCCATATAATTTCCTATGGCCTCCATCACTTTCATATTATGATTCTGTGGTGGCCATTCAACCACGTTTATAATACCAGCATAAGCTTGGCTTTCAGATAACTCTTGACTGTATCTGGGATGGTTACCTCAGTGTAGATCAAATTGATCACATTAAGAACAGTCCAGTATTTGGCAAATTACATGTACTATACATACCAGGCAGGCCAGTAATAATTGGCGGTACTGGAAAATAGCAGGCAAGGGTTATAAAGAAAAATACCTATACTTTTCATAAACACCTACTTGAAATCACACTATTTTAACAATGGGCTTCTAGTTGTGCTGAAATTGTAAATTGCTACAGAAGAAATATTAGTAACGATTATAGCTAGTTTGTTTAAAGGCTCATGATAAAGCCCCTGTAGAGATGCCTATTATGTTATTACGAACTGATACAACCACAATCAGTCAGTTCACCTAACACTTATTTTGACGGTAGGGCACAGCTACAATATACTTCATACAGCTCTTTTTTTAATAGCATTAAAAAAAGAGAACATGTTACAAAGAACCGAAATGCTTCCCTTTTAGGAAGTTCTTCTGCGACTGAAGCAAGAGGGATCCACTGGGTTATACCACGCCGAAGTAGCCAAGACTTACCAGGTACGCAACTCTTCAGATCACCTGTTCCATAGCACTGCTCTGTTCATCAGCACCTGCTGGAAGACCACAGACACGAGAGGGGGAGCTCAGTGAGGGGCCATTGAACCCTGTGCAGCAGCAGAATCAGCACACCCTGCCTGTCATGCTGAGGGGAGAGAGCTCTCTGCCTCTGGTTCCCTTTTTTCTTCCTGTCGCTCACAGGGGCCGGAAGCACTCTTGCGGCACAAGCACTGTCTCCCTTCCCCAGGGGTTAGGCAACTACTCTTACGGAACACAGAGCTTCAGAACTGCAGGGTGGGGAAAAGATTTGCAACCTAAAATAACACATTACTGGAAAAAATACCAGAACTGCATCCTGTCATAAATGACTGAGCTACGTTTTTTTTTAATGTGAGTGTAAATTTAAAAAATTGTTCTTTAGTTACTGAGGAGATACTATAGAATGGACACTATCATGAAATCCTTGCTGTCAGCTTTTCTCAAGTGCAGTAAGTTTATTTAAACTGACTAGCAGGGTGGATAAAGTCTCTCAAAAGGCTGAGTGACTGAGAGAAGCAAAGTCATGATTTTTGTTTTGTTAAGTGACGCAAAACCACAGGACTAGCCCTGGAAGTGACTCTAACACACTTGTACTAGTAAACTATCCCCACCCCCTAGTTAAAGCTGGTATTCGCTTATAAGAGGGCCAGCTAAGATGGTGACAAGCATGCACTCTGGGGACTGACACCCAGAACTCCGAGATCATTGCTTACAGAGTCCTAACGAATACTCTACGTCGCAGGGTGATTACATACAGGTTTCCTAGGACTCAGAGACAGGTTCGAATTTTAAAAAGAATGACTATTTTAAATTACCCCTTTTCTAAATTGTAAAATCTTGTTTGTATATTTCAGTACAGAAATAATAATAACTCAAACTGATTTTTTTCATTGTACACAGTCAGCAATTCAGTATTCAGTATTATGTGACTATTTCACTTCACTTGTGAACAAATTTTTATTCAGCTCTTTTTACGAACAAATTGTACATAAAACTCAGTTCACACCGACTCTCCTGAACAAAGTATCTCTTCATTTCATCTGAGGAACAGAAAATTACTTATCAGAAAGTTTAAGTTTATAAGTTTACTGCACAGTAATTAAGTACAAGTATTTATTTCATTGAAGGCACGCTTCTCATTTTCCAAATTACTTTTGAGTTCAAGGTCAACTTTAAAATCCTGTCTTATCTCAAGGCGTCCCAACGAATTGGAGAACCAAGTAAAATAGCTCCATAACTCACTGTACCTTTACACTACGATACTATACCCACTGAGGGAAAAGAAACTGGCCATGTGCCATTATTCCACCACAACATGTCCACTTTTTCTGGGGCCACACTGCTCAGGGCTTCCAAACCCTTGGGCTCAGAAAATAAAGCCAAGGGACTGGCAGAAAGCAACAGCCAACACTTTCAGAGAAGATCTTGCTAACATTGTCACATACCGCCATTTGCATCTCAAAACAGTCACAATTCAGATGTTGCAAACAACAACCACAAGCTCACACATTCATTATGAGAAGCCATGAAAGCAGAAGCTGAAAGACATGCAGGATGAGCACTTACAGCATTTATCCTTAAAGAGATTTTCAGATGAAAAGAAAATGTTTGTGAACTTAGGGTCACATTTATACACAATATTAAATACCATAATTTATGTAACAGGATCCCCATTGGTTTCGTTATACCTCCATTTTGAATGATAAACAAATGTATCTGAATTAACTGCATCTCAAATCAACTTTATCCTGATCTTCAGCACTGACTTGCCAATTATACACACTTCTGAAACAGATCCCAGCAGACTAATTCTCTCAATGATAAAAAACAACAAAAATCATTATTGCTCCAACAATAACTGGCCAAACTGCAATTTAGATAATTTTCTCCTACATCTGCTTTTCTGCTGACAGAAGTCATGCACCAGAGGTAAATTAAGCAAAGAGCCCCTAAGAGTGCATAAACCATCTAATGGATCTCTTGCAAGTGCTTAGACATCAAGATCTATGATCTCAGCAGCTAAAAGCTATAGTTAAGCGACTGAGATCAACGCACTTCAGAATACAGCAAATATAGGTATTTTTACAGAGTAATCTGTAAAGAAAACTAATAGGTGTATGCTCACTCCTGTTTCAAAGCCACCAAATGTATTGGGCACAAAAAAGACAGAAGTGATGTACCAGTCCGCCCCTGGTAAGCCCCATCAGAAACCCCGCATCACAGTAATGGGATCGACACTCAATATCATAGATAGCTTCACCTATCTGGGCGGTAATCTATCCAGACATGTGAACATAGATGAAGAAATTAACTGCTAAGGCCAGCAGTGCGTTTGGAAGGTTGCGAGCCAACGTCTGGGAACTTAGAGGTATTAGCCTCAACACAAAGCTGAAAATCTACCAGGCTATAGTACTTCCAACGTCACTTTATACATGCGAAACATGGACCATCTACAGCAGACACGTCACTTTGAATCACTTCCAGATGACATGCCTACGCAAACTGCTGAAAATCAGGTGCCATGATAAGATCCCTGACACTGTTCTCGCCCGCACAGGTCTGCACAGCATTCACACCCTGCTGCATAAGACTCACACCACATGGGCCGGACATGTCCTACGCATGGACGATGAGCATCTTCCCAAGAAGCTCTTGTATGGGGAACTCGCATAGGGAAAGCGCCCAGTTGGGAGACCCTTGATGCGCTTTAAGGACTATAAACCTCCATGAAAAATCTAGGAATCTCCGTCAACATTTGGGAAAGCCTTGCATCTGATCACACATCATAGTGCAGCCAGATCCTCAAAGGAACAGAGGCTGCCGAAAAACGAGGCATAGCCGAGGTCGAAAGTAAGCATGAGACGTGAAAAGCCCGAGCTGTCGGCACCTCCACCACAGCAAACACTGGTCTTATATGCCATATTTGTGGTAAAGACTTCTGTGCATAGATTGGACTCATCAGCCACCTTAGGACACATTTTAAACAATCTTAATAATCTCTTGATAGTCGTGGTCTTCATCAACAACGATGGACGAACATCACACATCTATTCCAGATAACAAACTGCCTGGACGGAAAAACAATTTTTGAACAACTGTGGTGACCTGCTAAACAGCAATTTTTCAATTAATGTGTACTGATTCGGAAGCAAATGTTTTTAACTATGGGCCTCGCTGTCCCATGGCTTAGTGCTCAGCATACAAGACAAGATCAGGGTAATGGTGCCCTCTCAGACAGCTGGCAGGTGGTCTAACCTTCTTGGTCTTTCTTTGGTGTGAGGGGACAGGGCCTGCTGTCTTAGACTGCTTCTTCTGTGTGGTCCGCAGCTTCAACGCAGATTCGTACACCAGGGCCTCACAGCTCACATTAGTTGCTTTACAACCTTTCTGCCATGAGAATTTGCTAATGATCCAAAGAATTATTGCGAAAATGGTAACTGATCTCAAGCATGCAAACAAAAAAACAGCCCGGCCTTACCGCCACAGGCAGTGATAGTTGGGTGCCCACAGGGAAATGGGACACAGCTGGCCGTGCTCTGTGGGGTAAGAGGGGTGGAGTTTAATTCACAACCACAACCAGGAAAACAGAAAAGCTCAAGGGTGTGTCCTTTGCTGGGCTAGCTGTTTCTCGATAGTGATTTTGTGTCTGGGCTTCCCCCAGCCAACTCTGTCCCTGGGGAAACTTCAGAAACCAGTCAGCTGATGTCAGCTGGCATCTAAACCAGCAGCCTCAAGGTACATCTACATTGCTCAAAGCTCAACGCAGAGAAGACTGACCCACCTGAGTCTTAACAGTTTACTACACAGGCTACCAGCACAGCTGTGCTGATATCTCCTGCTGCACAGCGGTCCTGTTTTCTTGTACTGTTTCCTGTTTTTACAGACTGCAGAGGTTAGCCTGCTTAATGTAACACAACCACAGCAATATAGCTCCAGAGTTCTAATTTGTACAGTATTATTGCCCTGCATGGATTGCACAGGTATAGGGGACCCAAAGTCATCTTCTTGCATCAAAACCACCAGCCTAGAGCACCACAAAGCTTGTGAATAGCATAGGTTGTCCCATGTAGCATAGCGGATGTCACGCTGAATGTCCTTTCCAGAGGAATGAGCCTTTAGAGCCGAAACAGAGTTATTTAAACTTCAACTCACTCTGACAAAATTCTCAAATTTCCCCCTCCCCTGCAGGCTGTTTACTCTAAAGTTCCCCCTATCTTCCCATCAGGGCTTGGCCAGGAAGCTGGAGCAGGACTGCAGAGTGTTGTGTTTCCTGTTTGCCCTCTGATCTAAACCCTGGCTTCCTGAAGACTGGGAGAGACCAAGGACAGGCAGCACATTTATAGCAGCTGCAGGGTGTGCCTCACCTGCCCCCTCTGCCAGCCCAGGGCAATCCCTACAGTACCTGGGCTTCCCAACTGGAGGAACATATAGCAGAAAGGGACACAACTGACTAGCAGCAGCACAGACTGACCATCAATGCACCTTCCAGCTGAGTCTGCAATGAATATCACAGGCATAATTGGACAGGCATCATTTCATTACTGTGGAGAGGTTGTCCGATTCTGCATTGGTTCCTTCATGCTTTCTGAAAATCCCTGGTTGTGCAAAAGTGTGTCAAAAAAGGAAGTGAGAAACTAAAATAAACTTAATAGAATAGCTTACCAGCTGCTCTATAAAAGCCACTGAACCTTAGAGAGAACAAAAAATATTGTACACAAGCTAACACAACAAAATGAATGTTGTTGCAATCATTACCTTAAATTAAAACACTTTAATTACCACTGCCCAGGGTGAAGGGAGTGTTTAATAAAATCCATGGCAAGTTAGCTAGTTTTTAAAAATTATTACACTTCATACATCATTCAGCCTGGTTTAAGTCACAATGACACACGTCTGCAACTACTATAATAATTAATAACATCAATGAACTGAAGTAATACAGAGAATAGACTGAAGTATTGTGTTGGCTAGTCATTATATACTGAGGGATAGCGGAAAGTGTAACTGGCATTTTTGG